GGTCTTGACGCGTTGGGAGTTTCCGAGACCCCCAATAAAGGAAACTCCACTCGATGCATCGAGACAATTGAATGAACGATAGCGTGTATACATCATGGAGAAGGTTTACTACAGCCCTCGGGGTTACTGGAAAGGCGTGAGCGCCATCCCGAAGCTAGCCAAAGACGCTCGCACCTCCGAGGATACCGCCAAAGCTTGGCTTAAAAAACAAGCCATCTGGCAAGTGTACCTGCCAGGCTCCCCGATACATCCCGAGAAGAAAGTTTGACATTTCCATACCCAACTGTACCCATCAAGCCGACCTCCTGTTTCTCCCGCACAACAGGGTGAGAAACAAAACGTACAAGTACGCCCTGACTGTTGTGGACGTTGCCAGTTGCTACACGGAAGCGGAGCCGATAACGACCAAAGATTCGAGTCTAGTCGCTAAGGCCTTAGAACGCATCTACAAACGCAGTCGCTTGACCTGGCCTGCCGTATTGCAAGTCGATCCCGGATGTGAGTTCATGGGAGCCGTGTCGCAGCTGTTATCGAAGCATAAATTCCAGGTGAGACGAGGTGTGGCGGGAGCTCACCGAAGTCAAGCCATCGTCGAAAGATTCAACAGAACTTTAGCCGAGCGTTTGTTCGGACATCAGTATGCCCGAGAGATGGACAACCCAGAAAAACGATCAACGGAATGGGTCGTACGCTTACCGCGAGTGGTGTTGGCGATCAACAATGAAGCCACTCGACTCTTCGATAAAAGACACGCCGAAGCAAAATCGAATGAAATCCGTGACGACCGAATCGGCTGCGCCATCGCGTCACAGCCAAGAGGGGACAAACGTTGCACCACAGACCCCGTATGGTCCATGAAAACGTACCGAATCGACCGAGTGAAAATCAAAGATGACGAACCAAATCTGTATTACTTGCAAGAGGGACCGGGTAGGGGATTCGTCCGAGAGAAATTACAAATTGTCCCTCACGACACGGTATTGCCCCCTTCTTATTTAAGATTTGTCTTATGTACCTCATTATCAACATGTGGAGATTGATCGAGAAACGGTTGTTCAGACGTGTCGGGGTGGACGACAGTGGCCTCGATATAGCCTGACAACCAGGGAACGCACCGCCCCGTACTCCACCTACTCCATAGCTTACTTGGACGAGTTCAAGACAGACCCACTCCATAAAGTCGTCGCCGAATATTACGGCTACATTTAAATCCAGTCCAAACCCCGTACGCTTACCAAGCTTATGTAACCCGATTTTAAAATGATTGATTGTGGCTTCTAAAATGTTTTCAGCTGGACCACCATCTTGGTTTGGCTTAGCAACGGCGGTGCTTGTTTCACTTGCAAAAGTTTCCACCCATACCCCGTCTCGAACTCGCGTCGCTGGATTATGAGTCCTACGCTCTACCTTCACACCACCGGACTCCCAATCAGTCAATATTTAGAACTTTGGGTCTAGGCTGGCAGCACATCGAAGGATGCCTCTCGAATGACCATCGCCATTTTTAAGGGGGGCTGGGGAACTTATTTCATAAAAATAAGCCTCTAAGCCGCATGTGCGGCAAACCCCCACTCTAGTACTACTTATGATGTTTACATTGCAGTTTTACGGGATGGGGACCTGCATCAGTTGTTTATGTCTTGATTTAACAAACATAACAATAAAAAACATACTTTCTAAAGTTTAATTTGGTGTTTCATTTTGTATGAATATCGATAAGTCTCCTGAGCTAATCAATTATAGTAAGCGCAAGCAAGATCGATTGACTGATTATTCATATATATTGGTTGTATGTATCTACTGGTTGTATGTATCTACCAGGTTGTATGTATTTACTGGTTGTATGTATCTACTGGTTGTACATATCTACTGGTTGTACGTATCTACTGGTTGTACGTATCTACTTGTTGTACGTATCTACTGGTTATATGTATCTACTGGTTATATGTATCTACTGGTTGTATGTATCTACTGGTTGTATGTATCTACTGGTTGTATTTATCTACCAGGTTATATGTGTCTACTGGTTGTATGTATCTATTGGTTGTATGTATCTACTGGTTGTATGTATCTACTGGTTGTACGTATCTACTGGTTATATGTATCTACTGGTTGTATGTATCTACTGGTTGTATGTATCTACTGGTTGTATTTATCTACCAGGTTATATGTATCTACTGGTTGTATGTATCTACTGGTTGTATGTATCTACTGGTTGTACGTATCTACCGGTTGTATGTATCAACTTGTACGTATCTACTGGTTGTATGTATCTACTGGTAGTATGTATCTACTGGTTATATGCATCTACTGGTTGTATGTATCTACTGGTTGTATGTATCTACTGGTTGTATTTATCTACCAGGTTATATGTATCTACTGGTTGTATGTATCTACTGGTTGTATGTATCTACTGGTTGTATGTATCTACCAGGTTATATGTATCTACTGGTTGTATGTATCTACCAGGTTGTCTGTATCTACCAGGTTGTAGGTATCTACTGATTGTATGTATCTACTGGTTGTATGTATCTCTTGGTTGTATGTATCTACCAGGTTATATGTATCTACTGGTTGCATGTATCTACTGGTTGTATGTATTTACCAGGTTGTATGTATCTACTGGTTGTATGTATCTATTGGTTATATGTATCTACTGGTAGTATGTATCTACTGGTTGTATGTATCTACTTGTATGTATATACTGGTTGTATGTATCTACTGGTTGTATGTATCTACTGGTTGAATGTATCTACTGGTTGTATTTATCTACTTACATGTATGGTTGTATGGATGTACTGGTTGTATCTATTGGTTGTATGTATCTCCCGGTTGTAACTACTGGTTGTATGTATCTACTTGAATGTATGATTGTATGTATCTACTTGTATATATGATTGTATTTATGCTGGTTTGTTCTGAAAGTTAAGGGCCATTTAATTACAAGATGTCAATAGATCCAGTAGATGCATCCAAGCAGTAGATACATACAAAACAAGCAGTTGTCACTGAGGTGACATAATCCCCAGCCGCAAATTATCAAATCAGACTTAAAAAGTAATTAAAGTGAAGGTCTTAGTTTAAGATGAAGTTAAGTGTCCACAAAAACATGACCACCTCTCTTATATATCTTGCTCTGTAGCATACAAATATTTTCAAGACTCACTTTGACCTGGACATGAATGTCATGGTGTATGAAATGTGCAAAATATAGTAATAAAGAAATTGCTTATCAATAAACATTCAAGAGAAGTCTTGAAAGTCTATGAAGAAAATCCAGTGAACGGTTCTTGAGATATCTTGCTGGCAAAGGTAAAACGTTAAAGTGACATTGAAATGAAGATCAAGGTCACCAAACCTGACTGGGACCTTTTCGTATACTGTGATGAACCTAGGTATCAAGTATGAAAAGAATCTAGTCAACGGTTCTTAAGATATTCCAATTCATATGTACGGACAGACGGAGCCTAATACTATATCCCCCGCTTCGCGCTAAACACGGGGCAGGGGATACTATACTGGTTGTATGTATGTGTAACATGTGACAAATGACACTCAAAGTTTGATTGTTTGTTTAATGGGGGGCCCCATAAAATCACTCTAAGGGGGATAACTCTACAGTAAAGTTAATCACTCTAAGGGGGATAACTCTACGGTAAAGTTACCGTTAGATATCTACGAGGTTTACATATCCCACTGGAGCCTCACCATTTGTCAGAATACATGACTGATTCTTGCAAACAAATCTTGATGTGTCTTTCGTTCTTCCTGGTAATTATACAACATAAAATAATTTCTACAATTAGGTTTTATTGTCAGGATCATATTTACATGTTTATATGTTGTATTCGTGTGGAAAGTCTAAGATATTGTGAAAAATTGTCAGTGATTTATAATTAGATAAAACCAGCAATTACAGTTGTTGTAAATAAGTTTGATATATGAAAGATGGTAAGTTTAATTGATTTATTGGTTATTTTCATAAGCAAAATACTTGCAAGTCCAAAGCAAAAAATCTGGATCGAGTTATCCCCCCGTGTCCACTAGGTATCATAAAATCCAAGATGGCTGCGTCCTTGGTTGTTGAATCGTTATTGTTTACACTCACTAGTGTTTACACTGATTATGGTTCTACAAAGGCAAAGTACATTATATTTTGGGCTGAATATCATATTTGTTAGATTGAATGAATCATACAAACTTTTCAGTCGATGTGCTCACAAAATTTAATCATGATGTTTTTATGAATTATAATGTGTAGTTTCATAACATGTAATGTTATTATCTTTAAATGTCAATGTTACTGTTATAAATTCAATATAAATCATGACAGTAGTAAATAAGTTGACCATGGTGCCTTTCATATATCATTATTGCTGCAATGACTTAAAGAGTTACAATTACATAAGAAGTTATAATGCAACTTAGCATTACCTTGATGCAGATCTATTACTCAAGTAATGATAAATATGTCATAATCACCAGAATTAATCGCTTGTGTAATCATCATTTTATGTGTTTGTATATAATTTTGAAAAGTTCATGGTTAAGGATAAGATATAAGCAAGTTGAAGTTGTTCTATTTTATGGTGGAGAATTCTTGTAACTTTTATTGAGCAAATAATACCCCTAGACAACAAACATTGAAAGTACATGCATTGTGTAAAGGTTAGTACAGCATGCTGTTGAAATAAGATTGTACTCAAGTACTAATGTATACCATGAGATGTACTAATTGTGAGTGTCATACACATCCCACTTCTGGAGCCTCACCATTTGTCAGAATACATGACTGATTCTTGCGAACAAATCTTGATGTGTCATTTGTTCTTCCAGAAACCTCACACACACACACCTACCTAATATCAATGAACCCGAGGCGTGCAACGTATGGTTAGTTTATGTGTTTTCAGTATTGTAACTTAAGTTAACATTGCATTGAACCAGAGATTTTACAGACAATTCCTCTATTCCTGGTACACAGTTCACCTGAAACTCACCTTCTGCCTTGCTGTGTATCTCCTCTACTTTCTCTTCATAGATCCAGTCTGCTGACTTCTGTACTTGCACCACTGTTGGCACATGCTCACTGGCAGCTTCCTCTGTCTTACATGGACGACGACTTACCACACGTTCACGCTTCTTAATAGGAGACCGCACCTTGGCAACAAATAGTAATCAGCCAAATGGGGGTAAAACATTTTAAAACTAAAAATACTTGCAATCTAACCCTAACAAAATTAAAATCTCAGTCATTTATCCATCAAACTCTCAGGCATCATTCGACCTGTAATTGTCAAACATTCACTCATTACAGTGACATGTTAGTTAATCTGTGATAAGAATCATGGAGTCATTCAATGTTTGTGCACTGTGTAAACTAACAAGGTAGTTGCTGGCTGATTCAGCAGATCTGCTCACCTGCTCCACCTGTTCTGAGCTACCCCTGTCAGAGTCCACTGATGGAGGGGAGGGAGGAGGGGGTTGCGCTGTCACCACAGGGAGGGATATTGGTAGAGGCTGTGGTTTGTTATCACTAGAAACTGAAACACACAAATATTTTCCAATAGAACTGAAGTTACAAAATCAAACATCTGTAAATACATGTATACTTTACAATGTGTAAAGAGTAGTTCTAAAAACAACTAGGTTTCACCCTGAACTGTTCTCACTGTCCGACTGACCAACTACATTCCAGGTAAATACAAGTCAATGTTTAGGTACTGTTGTTAGAAAAGAGAATAGAGTCTCTCATGACATTAAAAAACGACATTACATGTAATAAAGGGGCCATCATGTTTGCGTGTTTTCAGATGGTAAATATCTTGTATTAAGAATAAACAATTTGTATTAAGCTTGCTAACACTTGCTAAATTCAATGTATTTTCCTGACATGTAACATTTACCATACAAAACACACTAGCATTATAACTTGTCTCTATTAGCCACTACTGTGACAGAAAACCAGTCGTGATAGGATCACAAACACCATGCAATATTTGGAAGTGACTATCGTTATCTTTCATCAAGCAATCTCTGTCACAGTCAGTAAGACAACAAAAGGTTTTACACTCAACAGATATGAAGTCACCCTACCCCATGCTGCCCCATTCCTGTGATAGCACACCTGTCCTCACACAGAAAACTCACTATACCTGTATAGGCTCTATATAGCAACACACAAAACTATGTCTGAATGGCACAAAGATAACATTAAATAAAAAATGAGAAATCACAATTTATCAATGAAACACAGTTTTACTTTTCAGATGTGTTACAGCTAGTTGTCAGCCCTGAGCCTAAGCAATTTCATGTACACAAGTCATCATAGTAAACAAGTATCTGGATAAATATTTGAGTAAATGTTAAGCTTTTGGGAACCCAATCCCTTTCTTTACATCTGTCATGTTAAGAAAGGAGCATTGCTCTGTTTGATGAACAACAAACAAATGATGGACAATATATGACAACAGACACTCATAATGTCACAGACAGACAAACTACACAACTTATTTGTAATACAACAAACATTTAAAGGTGAAAAATGTTCAATCCCCTCACCTCTGTCTGCCTCTATCACTGAAGTCATAGAAAGTCACAAAAAATGAACAATGTCGTGACTGATTGAATATGCCTGCCTTATTTTCTGGTTTGTAGTTAGATAAATAACAGGACTATTGGATGTAATTGACAGCCGACATGCAATCAGCAGGTTATGGACATATCTGTTTCTATGTCATCTTAGTCTGTTAGCACCAATATTGATCAGAACAATATCAACATATAATGTTACGCTCTGTAAATTTCAGCTGCGTGAATATGATGCACTCCAGCCTAACAATACTACTTCTTGTTGCCAGTCCCAGTTATTTTTGTCAGAGACCATATATTGATACGGTCTCTGTTATTGCGTAAACTTTTTCAACAGAAAATAATTGACAGTTAATAGCCCCGAAACGTTGTGTATACAATAAAGAAAAGCTTCTATATGCCTCTCAAGAACCTCAGTTTTGTTACTGGTAAGTTGACATAGGTTACATGAATATATTAAATTCAACTGACACAAACCAACACAAAAATGTAAAGCAAACAATGTATCCTAACAACAAATAGAGGCAAATGACAAGAGTGTATTGCAGGTACTGCAGCTCACCTTAAACAGATGAAATGATGCTTCTGGGGCAACAGTCTTACCAGCAAGTGTTTGTTGGTGTCAACATTTTAACAAGCAAACTTATTGTAGCTGGGACCAGTATTTCAGGTATATGTAATAATGCTGGAGTAAGGATAAAGTGACACATATCATTAACATTTGTCACTTTTGTTGTACTCACAAGCACTGGCATGAAGTGGATGATAAACTAGTTGAATCTATGATTTGAACCTACAGTTAACAGATCCTGGCAATTCTAAGGGGCAAACACCTTAGTCCACTTGAACACATAGGTGTCCCCTGTCAACATGAATTATTAATAGCTATGTCATTTTCCAAACAAATTCAGTTTACTTAATCAGTTTGAAATGAAGCTTCAAAGTCAAGCAGTTGATGAATAGTCCCACTATTATAAAAGTCTAGGATTCACATAATGTAACTGCAAACTAAAGGGCCCTTAATATCAAACACTAATTTTACAAAGATTTAAAATAAAAACGTATGAAACTGTTAATTGTCTTAACATCTCATGAGGGATTAATTCATCATTTATGGTTTCACATTCCTTATAATTCCATTGAATAGCATACATCTGTTAAATCATTGTCATAAACTCATTTTATTGTTGCCATCACACCATGAAATGCTTTACATTTTCAACAGGAGTCTTAGGTTAATGTGTATGCAGTTCCTGCATGCCGATGTGATTTGCCATTAAGATTTCCTACACTAATCAGTCTGATGGACCAATCAAAATACATACATACAAACATTTGTAAAGTGCTAGTATCCATCATTAGCTGCTCCAAAGTGCTAGTGTCTGCGATAATTGAAAGGGTTACTGGAATGCCATATTGAAGAAGAACATTTGAGTTTAGATTTGAACGTGGACAATGTTTGCTCAGATCTTATGTCAAGTGGGAGACTGTTCCAGAGAAGGGGTCCTGCACATTCAAAAGAGCAGTCACCAAATGTTTTTGTACAGGAGGAGGGTAGAACTAGGAGAGACTTATCACATGAGCTCAGTGTCCTAGGTGGGTGGTATCTGGTCAGCAGGCTGCTGAGGTAATCTGGTGTTATGGAGGGACAGGAACACCAGTACAAGTATCTTGTGCTGTATCCAGTAGCGCACTGGCAGCCAGTGAACTACAACCAGCCCCAGTGTTTGGACGGTAATATTAACAACAGGGTGGCAATTGCCATTGATTACAAAATCATTAGCAAGAAATTGTAAATTGAAAAGTTGACTGAAATGCAAAACAAAGCCCTCAAAACTCTATTTGAGGGAAAGACGTCTTCATGTCCATAAAACCATTGACAGTAAGCCCTCCCATTACAAGCAAGTCAAAGACATAGACGTACTAAATGAGCAAATGAACATTATCACATACATAGGAACTGGTTTCCTCATGTATTAGCACCCATGACTCATAATTATTCGGGCTGACCAGTGGACTCTGATTCCCTGGATCACTTTCTCAAGATGCAAGAGAATCTTGATTGCTGAGTGTGAACATACAGTCATGGATGAGCAAATCAGCTCAACCAATCAAATGTTTAATACATCTACTATTAATTTGGTGACAAAAATGTACGAACAACCAACTGAAACTGACATGGATCAATGGAAAACAATCTGAACAGAGGGATGGGACTGTATTTCTGGCCTCTACATTCAAGGAAACATCACCATGCCCCAAAGTCAAACCACAGACAAATTGAGGAGGTCATCTAAACATTTTGCCCAAACTGCAAAATTGCAACATGTGGTGCAACATGCATATGTATGATTAATCTGCAGTAACTTAGCAAATGATCTCAGAACATGAAGTGACATCATAAGTAGAGCCAAACATCACAAAAAGGCAACTGAAGTGATATCATCAGAATGAAACTGACCTCTTCATGAAGAGTATATGATGTCATAAAACTGGAAATGACATCACAAATGCCAATAAACATAGTTATATGAGGAGTAATAAGGAGATTGGGCGTTATTATTTTACTATTAATATGATTCACTCTGCCTCACTGCTGCCAACCAACTGGGATTACTAGATGCCAGAACGACTAGTGAACCAACCTCTGGTGAATACCAGCTATGATGTAACAGAGGTAGGACATTCAAAGCTGTTATCAAACAATAGTTATCATTGTGAACAATTCTAAGAATACTACCTGTGTTGCATTAGGAAGTAGTCACTCCCAATCTATCTACTCTCAAATCTATCTGCATTTAGTTGGTGTAAGTTACTGGGAAAAAAATGACTTTTTGCTACCTTGTACATGTTAATGAAAATAATAAAACACTAATCATAGATACATTTGTCTGTGAAGATGACTTCTATTGAAAATCAAGAAGATGTTATGGTATCATGACAGACAAAATGGACAAATTGTTCTGGCGTAATAAAGGTTGTATTGTTAGGATTACATACATTAATAACTATTGCTTGATTTCTGACTGGTTCAATTGTGTCCAACTGTAAACTGACCTTTTCTCCCAACATCAAGTTTGTTGATGATGTTTTTTTCAAATCCACTGATCACTTTTAGACACTGAGATACACTTTCTCTAAACCACATGAACAACACAATGAAACAATCAAAGACAACAACATGTCTTGTACCTCTCCGTTGGTTGGTCTTGTGAGAAGGTGATGGCTTCTCCTCCTGCACAGGTAACTCTCTGGGTGCTATGTCATAATGCAAGGATTAACAATTCTCACAGGATATAGGAACTATCATCATGTTCTAATTGTGGTTTTACATACGGTGAAATACATGACAAACCATAAATATTGATTCTCTGTCTTTTTAAGAATTGTTTTTAAAGGTCACATGCAACCAAAAAATCAAACATAATTAAAACACAATTATCACTTATTCATGACATATAATATACATTGCTGGTTATGAAAAAACATATAAACAAAATTATAAGCGTACAATCACAAATCAAAATTGCAATATTTTGTACTTCGCAAGAAACGAAGCAGCCGGGATACCGAACCCAGTCAGAGCGGGTGGGTGTGCACTCAAGTGTAACAGCTGGTTCATTTGCAGATGCCCTCACGGCTTATTGTGTGTGTATATATAGAGATGTTGGGTTTTGTAAATACATGTATGTAAATACATGAAAAATAGCTCACACCAAAGCCTTCACCAAGTATTCACCGGACAACCCGTTTCCAAGCTGCGCGAACCTATTTCACTGCGCATGTGATATGAGCGCAGCCCAGCTGTTGAAACCACTTCAATTCCCCCAAGCGCTGGGGGAAAATTAGTGAATCGTTTGAACTACGATTTCACGCTGTTTTTTTCATCGCATCATTTTTCAACTTTGTAAGTTGAATTTGCATTTTTGATGATTTGTTTTGGTAAGTCCATACCGAAAGGTATCAGAATCTGCAAAGTTGTGCTTTACGTTGCATGTGACCTTTAACTATGGCATACTGTAATTCAAAATTTCAAATCCAAACTCACATACTACTCGGCGATGGGTAAATATTTTCATTCCCTTAGGGAGATGAAAAGGAAAAATTTAAGGTGTGACTTTGGTTTTTACCTTAATACACATTTATATAGAACACCAAGCTGCTCGGGTCGTCCTTGGTAAAGTAGTAAGTTATTTACAAAGACGATTAATCATTTTGTAAAGCCAAATAGTCTATATCATAAGAATGATCATTAATAAAATTATGTCATCAATGATACAGTTGCCCTTTGACTATCTCTTTGCCAGTATCTAAACAGAATCCCTTCATCTGTTTTTCTATCATCCTTGATACATGTTTTCATCTTTAAGGCTACATGACAAACACAGATCTCAATATCACAGTACAGTCAATCACTGTTGTGTGGAAGTTGAAGGGACCTACATAAACAAGTTATCAGAGGTTTGGCACAACTACAAAATCTTCAGTACATAAGTAATGCTCAGGGACCAAACTTATGCTGTAAGATAAGTTTAATTTTAATTTCGACCCATGAAAGTTTGATACAGCTGTGTTTGACTGTATGCATTAATAGTGTCTGTTGACCAACTTTAGTTGGCTATAGTAGGTATTAGCCAGGAACCAACATCTTATTCAAGAATAAACATCCTTGTGATCTACCTTTCTTTTGTTTGGCTGTGGGTCTGGCTGTTTTCTGTTGTTGTGGAGGAGACTTGACTTTGCTTGGCTTCTTTGGAGACCTGTTTGGTTTCAATGTGGCAGGCTTCCCTATACACAACACCAGAAGCTATAGTCACAAGCGAGAAGGATATAAAACAGAACTCGTAGCAGGATGTAGATCAGCATTCATATGGGAATGAAGAGGGTTATTATAGTCATTAAAGATACAATGGTTCCCCAACAGGGTTGTACGTAAATCACCAGATATATTTGCACCTGGAAGTTTTTATATTAAAGACATGAATGTATGCCAAACCATGACAGTTGATTACTCTCTGAAAAAGAACACAACCGAAATGAACCTCTGGCAAAGTGGTTAAATTGGGATGTGGAAGTTTGACATCTTTGCTACACCTTAGGTAGTTGGAGTGCAAACAGCATGTTATCCTGAACTTCTCTGGCATTTGTCATTTTACAGCATTACAACAATCAATGAGGTTGTCATCAAGAACAACCTGTTTATGTGCATTAGATTTGCATGTATGGGAACAAATTTGATATTTTCTAACAACTGTAACTGTTCATCCTACAACATTAAAACCATGAAAACCTTTTTGTTGTAAACCTTTTTGTTCCATGAAGCTACATCCATATGCAATTAGTGGGAGATATACAAAATTAGTGCAGTTTGTTCTATTGAAATGACATGATTATTCATATTCATGGACAAAAATACACATTGCCCTGAAGTAGTAGTTTTTCATGACACAGACCTTTGGATTTAATGATGATCTTCCTCTCCTAAGACTGACTGACTGACTGACTGACTGACTGACTGACTGAGTTTGGTTTTACGCCGCTTTTAGCAATATTCCAGTAACATCACAGCGGGGGACACCAGAAATGGGCTTCACACATTCCTCTCCTAAGAAATACTTGAACTGGAGAATTGGGATATTCTATCACAAACAAAGGCCATTCTATCAGTTGAGCTGCTCCTATTATTACACTGCATTATGCCATAGGCAGGCCAAACAATTAAAGTGACAGTCAATTCTTACCGTGCACACAGTACAAAATGGCAAATATTTTCTACATAAATGCTATTTTTCTAAAAGTGACTTGTTTACAATGCATTGATATGAAACAAATTATTCACAGATCATATTTACACATCATCGAATAAATACAAACAGTAATTGACTATTTCTGGATTTTATCACATGCATACATATTACAAATGGATGCAAGTATGTTGTATGTGTCCTATGGTATGAAAGGAAGTATGAAGTAATCATAGTTTAATGGTATGTTACACAATTGTCAATTCTGTTCTTGTAAGAAATAGAGTTGAAGTTCAGGGGGATATTGTCAATCTTCAGTTGAAAACCATATCTATACCATGGCTGTCAGTACAACTTTAGGCTTCTGAGCATGGTGACATTAGCAATACATGCATATGCATTATAACACTGACTTGAATATCTATACTTGTCTATGTGTTATCTGTCAGCAAGTCAGTACTGAAATTATGAGCAATGGCATCTGTTTACAAACAGAAGAAAAAATTAAGGTGTGACTTTGGTTTTTACCTTAATACACATTTATATAGAACACCAAGCTGCTCGGGTCGTCCTTGGTAAAGTAGTAAGTTATTTACAAAGACAATTAATCATTTTGTAAAGCCAAATAGTCTATATCATAAGAATGATCATTAATAAAATTATGTCATCAATGATACAGTTGCCCTTTGACTATCTCTTTGCCAGTATCTAAACAAAATCCCTTCATCTGTTTTTCTATCATCCTTGATACATGTTTTCATCTTTAAGGCTACATGACAAACACAGATCTCAATATCACAGTACAGTCAATCACTGTTGTGTGGAAGTTGAAGGGACCTACATAAACAAGTTATCTGAGTGGGAAAAATGTAGGAAGACCTTGGATCACTAAATAGGCTAGTTAAGCCCTGAAGAGCTTGAAACTGTCTGTAATGGAGTGTTTTCCCTTAATTTCTAACCTTGCTAATGTGACTGTCATAACTTTTTATTCATTATTGATTAAATATCATCACATACTGACTTTGGATGAAAATGAGTAACTATTTATGAATTGTTTTTCAAACATGGTGATATCTCATTTTCAATTTTGTTCACAATTGAACCCTGTATAAAAAAAGCATTTGCAAGTGGTTGATTTTGGTTTGGCTCTTTATAGAGTGAGGATATTTTTACAATTCACTTTTGAGCAATTTTTTCTGTTGTCAAAAATGCTAGGGTAACCCTAAAAATGTTTACTGGCCTTGTTGTGTATGCAGAAAAGACCTCAGCAAAAATCTCACTGAAAATCTCCTCTGGTCTGGGTGTTTGAGAGCAACAATAATTCACACATTAAATATACTACTTCATGTTTAATATCTAAAAATCCTTCAGTAAGGTGTAGAGGTAAGAATAACATCAGTGTGATGGTGTATAATGTTACCATGGTCATGTATAAAATGTGCCTTTCAGCTGTGACCAGTAAATATTGAAGTCTGGCCCAGAAAAACATGTGAATAACAGCATGAACAAAAATCCAGAAGATCAGGATGTGACATCATAACCATCCAGGTATAAAGTTGCATAAAGTGATCTTAGTGATCATAACTCCTACACTCTTACACTGACTTAAGCTAGACATAGTTCTAAGATCTGTTTGTGAAAGGTGGGCCCAGGTCAGTTGTAACAGTACCCCTATGTGTCATGCAGGTAGTATTCATTCATGGTTACTATTGTGACCTACTTGGGGATGACTTCTTTGACTGTGTCTGGCCTCTGCTTGCTGCTTGCGGACGTGGAGGAGGAGGTGGTGGTGGTTGCTGTACCTGTTGCTTGTTGACCAGACCACCAGTACTGCTCATCTGTTTCTTGTCAGGTTTGTCAGGCGGAGTGTGGTCAGCAACACTTGTCACTGACTCACCTGGAGGTTAAATAATTGGTTTGTCGTTTAACCCAGCACTCAGCAATCTCCTACTATATGGCAGCGGTCTGTAAATAATTGAGTCTGGACCAGACAAGCCAGTGATCAACAGCATGAGCACAATCTACGCATTTGGGATACGATGACATGTGTCAAACCAAGTCAGCAAGCCTGACCACCCGATCCCGTTAGTCGCCTCTTATGACGAGCATTGGTTACTGAAGACCAATTCTAACCCGCATCATAACCCGGTGCTTAAATAGTATTTATTGAAAGTATATAGAAAACATAACATCCCCTATTGACAGGAAAGTTAAAATTTCAACAGAATTAACAAAAAAGTTGAATCATTGGCAGTGGCCATTTTGAATGTGACACCTACTGTGAAACAAATATTATGTTTCCAATAGCTTTCAAATTAGGATAGTCACTACATAGTAAAGTTCTTGTGAACCTTCTACTAGTTATTTGGAAAACACCCACAGATAATTGGTGTACTTTTTGTCACAAGCATAACCTTTATAAATTCAAAGGATGAGAGTTCACACATTACAATAAAAACATTTACAGTCAGGCCATGTTAGTCTGGACCCCAATAATCCGATTCCCGCAATATCTGAACGGTAGCTAGATGTAACTGATCTTGTTTACTATGTAAACTCATTAACTGTTGATTCATTAATCCGGTGCTTCACCATGTTCACTCTCCATATCCAGACGTTAATTAGCAGTAACGGATTAGCTAATTACACTTGGTTTTGCTTTATTAATCCGGTGGTACATCAAAAAGGTTCGATAATCCCCTTACCTCATGAGCACCATTCGGTAAACTTCAATGGTAATTGATAAGTGAGGTGACACTTCTGAGTGAGTGAGTGAGTGAGTATGGTTTTACGCTGCTTTTAGCAATATTCCAGCAATATCACGGCGGGGCACACCAGAAATGGGCTTCACACATTGTACCCATGTGGGTGACACTTCTGAGTTGAAAATGTCGTTAGTTTGTGATTTTAATCAATTAATAGGTCTCACTTGTGCAAACACAACTGGCACCATCAAAATTAAGCCATTTGTTAGGGAAGTAACTCTACTGTAGTGATGTCCATAATGGTTCGTTTTAGTAGTCCGTACGTTTCATTATCCGAACGTTTTTTTCTGAAAAACGGAAGTGTTCCGATTAACGTGGCCTGACTGTATTCCTGAGTCATTACTTGGATCAGCAATTGACAAAGTCCATGAGGATATGAAGACAAAACAAAGTGCAATTTGACAAGATTATCATATAAATTGTTAAAACGCATGCTTACATCATACAACTAATGTGTTATGCCTTGTTCAAAATTAAGCATGAAAGTCAAAGGGTGATTGTCTTTGCTCTTATGCACAATGATTTACAAGATCATTAGATTCAAATACTACAGACATGCTATGTTAACATTAAATATTACCAACAATAATAAGTACCACAATTGACAGTCACTGCAGTATACGTGAGTATACATGGCACTGTATGTGTTAGTGTATGTTAGTATCATTACAAGAACACAGCTCTACCAGCATGCAGGTTGTCATGCTACTGCGTATACTGACACATGCACACAACAACTAGATACCAAGTTTCTCTGGTCTGGCTTGGGGTTTCCTTGTACGAGTTGTAGTAGCTCTCCCCCTTGGTCCTCCCTCCCCTCCCCACAGCTGTGTCTCCCCCTCCACCTGTTTGCCCACGCGATATGGAACACTCTGTGACACAGGTTCCAGTTCCACCACATCGGTGGCCAGTACTTGTGGGAAGTGGACTGACTTGGGATGAGGATGTTGTTCACTCACAACATACTGAATAGACACAGATGGCAGTTTCGGAACACTGTCCACTGCCTCAGAAGACACTCTTGATGTTGCAGAGGTGTCTCTTTCAGTGTGTTTGGGCATGGGAGGTGAGATGGGTTGGATTGATGGAATGGGTGTATTGGGTGAGATTGGTGTACAGGGTGAGATTGGTGTACAGGGCGAGATGGGTGTATCAGTTTGGATAGGTGAGATAGATGTGAGGAATGAGATGGATGTGTGGGGTGAGATGGATGTGTGGGGTGAGATGGGTGTTTGGGGTGAGATAGGTATGTGGGGAGACACAGCTGAGTGGGGAGGAGAGGTTATAGGAGGTAGGATGGGAATCTCCAAGTAGTGTGGGCTGATGCTGGCTGTGGGGTGTACTATCTGTTACTTCTATGATATATACAAGCATGATAAATAGGGATAATTTGGTTGCTGTTTGACAGGAGTATTTTTGTCAGAAAGTAAAACTTGTTTGAAAATATATTTTTTGTCTTTGTAAACAACTGAAACAGTCTCATAACAAACAGTCACATGTAGCTTATCTGGTCAACCAGTAAACATTCCCTTTCATATCAACAGGTACCAAATCATTAGTCCTCTTGTTTTGGCTCATACCTTGTTGAATATATTCATGTTAGTATAATGTCTTGGGATCATAGAACATCTGGGGGCAGAGGGGTAGCCTAGTGGTTTAAGCTTTCGCTCGCCACGCCGAAGGCCCGGGTTCGATTCCCCACATGTGTGAAGCCCATTTCTGGTGTCCAGGTTAGTGGTGTTCCGATGATCGATTATAATCGACAATTGATTGGTTACCCTTTTCCGATGTGACAATCGATTGCAAAATTTCATAATCGATTGTCGCTAATATTTCTTAGAAAAACAGTAATGAATACCAATCTAGGACCATAAGACAACGGGCAGTCACCAATAATTATAACTTTTGTGTAGTTGACAGAAATTGGATACGCATACATATTTTGTTTTGCTACATGTCATATTTGTTGTAGCTGGCAATCACAACAAACTGGCATGTGCATTTCACCTCATTTCATGTGCGTACAACTTTCACTTACCATAATCATGAGGGTACGCTTTTCGCTCCAACCGCGACAGCACCAATTTCAGATTATTCTCAACAACCACGAACTGATTACCGCCTCATCATCCATGGAGGCCCTAGTTTACAGTAACATCGGTGAAAACGTGTAAGTTCAACTTCCGCTTACCATGTTCGTGAGGGTCCGTATAACCTTAGTATTGATTATACATATTTTACATTTATAGAGCAAAACCTGTAAGTAAAATTACACAATGCTAGGATAAAATAATAGTTTTAGATATTATATTTTACCGATCACTGCGGCAGAATTCATCCCGTTATATTATTGGGTATGTTTTAACTACTGTAAATCATGAAATTAATGCATCACGAATTTAATGCGAGTGCGAGGTTCTAGTCTAAAATGCGTCACGAAATTAATGCGAGCTCAGGAATCTGTGTTGATGACAAAATGTGACACCCTGAATCTTCGGTATTGTTCTTTTTTCTTTTCACACTTGTTATTTACCAAATAACCTGAATTGAGCTTGTTAAGCAATGAATGGAAATGAGCTGATGATGTTTTGATTACGCTGCCATGTTTGATCACGTGATTGCTTGCTACTACTTGTCTTATGACAACATGTATAAACGTAATCTGACTTGAAAGACACGAGTCATCTACCACTCGGGTACAACAAACACGTGGCTGGAGAATGTCCGATCTGGCTGATGTGCTTGAGTGACTTTAAACAATGACCAGTGATTGTAACCAGTGATAATTACATGTGGTTTGAGATACCTGTAATGAGGAAGTGACCTGTATTGGTGTAATGTGTAGTGTCAACAGATTTACGTTTTCTGTCTGTTATTATGTTCTCAAAAGTAGACATGGTCAGACTGAAATGCATCATTTCAATAATGCGAGAAGAGTACAGACGCATTTTTCGTATTAATAAAATGCTCGCATTAATTTCATGATTTACAGTAGATCACTGGGAAACGTGTGCACAGCTGATTGCTATTTCCGACTTTACATACGAGACAAATACACATATAATACAATGCCAAGCAAAACAAATTAGAACTGAAATTTAGTGAAAAGGTAAATAATCTTGTCTAGTGATGTTTAATTGCAATTTGAAATTTGACGTCTTTACTGACAAAGTCTTCTTCTCTTGTCTGTCTGTTCATGTAAAGCGATACAATGTCATTTTCTTATCCCCTGAAAAAAGTTTGATGAAAGTGTTACCCATAGATAATGCTAACCCCCTTCTACAGACTGCTATTTTTGGTCCTCAAAATTCGGCTTATTTACGGTAATACATTACAGTAAATTAGTGTAAAAAGTGGGTCAAAATTTGGAAAAAATTGTGAGGATTTGTTGTGATTGTGTAAAATCTGCAAAAGAGTGAATTGAACAGTCACCTTTTCTATATCTTGGTAGTCTGTCAGTATTTATTTTTGTTGATCAATGTAGACTTGGGTTGCTTGTGACTTTGTACAATCTTGCCTCAAATGACAATTAAAACTTATGAAAAATATTATATTCAGGAGTTCTTAAGTTCTTTTAGATGCACCCTCAAGTCACGTTTTTATACAGAAACCAACCACAAAAGCTGATCAATTTCATTTAATGCTCTGTATTATCACATAATTAAAAAAATGACAAATATACAGTATTGCAGCTTTGTAAAAAGAGTTCAAATGTTTACCTGGGAATTGCACAAGTTGTAAACAATATTTAATTCTTAATCAGTGTAACTGATTGTACAATCAATCATTGATCGGATGGGACAATCCGATTGCAACCGATAATCGATTATGAAATTGCAACCGATTCCCAACACTAGGTGTCCCTGCCGTGATATTTCTGGAATATTCCAAAAAGTGGCGTAAAACGTAACACACTCACTCACTCATAGAACATCTTTCTAAGACTAGAAGTTCTGTTTGGTTAAGTCTGTAATCTCCGACTCCCTCTTTGTCTAAGCTTCGGGAGGCTGAGTGGGTTAGATTGCTGTGCTGACTTTGTGTACTGGCGATGAGGTGCCTCACTCTCAGAGTGTAGGGTCAACAACAAGACAACAAAACTACTAGAATTTGTGATTTACTTTAAAAAATGCAATTCACAAATAACAGATGTTACCTCTGACAATCCTAATGATTTGTGAAAATTTTCTTCATTTCTTAAATTCTGCACCTTGTCCATAAGTATAGGAACATATGTGGTTAATGGAAAAAAATGTGATGTTTTCTACATATTATAATGAAGGCTTATTTGTGCTTAAATACAACAAAATATATAGGAACTAATAACATGAAGTGTAATGTTGACAAGTGACCGTAAAATTAATTTTGGGCATGTAGATCACGATCTGGTGTGTCTATCATGTTTGGCAATACACGTACAACTCTTCTATGGCAAACTGTTGATTTACTAGCATATGTTTGTGTTGGTAAGCCCACCATTCCGACAGAAGAGCTACCCCAACTATTTGGAACATTCGACCACTTTAAATGCACATGTTTAGCAACAGTGTCATGGTACTGTGTTAAATCTGCATGACAGTACAGGGGAATATTTCAGTTGGCTGTGAGATGAACAAAAGCATCAATACTGACCACTTCTTTCCTCATCACTGTCCCTCGTCTCCAGTGGTTTTATGTCCACAGCCTGCCCAGTGTCCCCAGCTGTGTCCGGCGATGGAATGAGAAGTTCCTGAAGCTCCAATCTCTCAGCATCAGTTTCCACTGTATCCCCCTCATGGATGTCTGGGGATCTCCAGGCTGGGCACACATTTTCCAAGGGAGTGGGCTGGGGAAAAGATGGCCCAGCAGAGGGTGCCCGAGGGGGTAGACGATTGCCTACCAAAACAGAGGAGACAACTGCAATTTGTTCCAATCATGCCTTTTGAGTGAAATATTTGCATGTATGACAAGGCTAAAGATATGTCCATCTGTCAGTGTTAACAAGCTTGTGAAATGTTATGCCAAAACACATTGGTTTGCTAGAGATTTAAAATTGTTCATCTCTATCCTACACCTTCTACAGGTAGGGTAGTCAACATCTGAACCTGTTCACCTCTATCCTACACCTTCTACAGGTAGGGTAGTCAACATCTGAACCTGTTCACCTCTATCCTACAACTTCTACAGGTAGGGTAGTCAATATCTGAACCTGTTCACCTCCAGCCATTACCTTCTACAGGAAGGGTAGTCAACATCTGAACCTGTTCACCTCTATCCTACACCTTCTACAGGAAGGGTAGTCAACATCTGAACCTGTTCATCTCTATCCTACAACTTCTACAGGTAGGGTAGTCAACATCTGAACCTGTTCACCTCTACCTTCTACAGGTAGGGTAGTCAACATCTGAACCTGTTCACCTCTATCCTGCACCTTCTACAGGTAGGGTACTCAACATCTGAACCTGTTCATCTCTATCCTACACCTTCTACAGGTAAATGAGTCAACATCTGAACCTGTTCTCCTCTATCCTACACCTTTTACAGGTAGGGTAGTCAACGTCTGAACCTGTTCACCTCTATCCTACACCTTCTACAGGTAGACGAGTCAACATCTGAACCTGTTCATCACCTACACCTACAGGTAGACGAAGTCAACCCTACATCTTCTACAGGTAGGGTAGTCAACATCTGAACCTGTTCACCTCTATCCTACACCTTCTACAGGTAGATGAGTCAACATCTGAACCTGTTCACCTCTATCCTACACCTTCTACAGGTAGGGTAGTCAGCATCTGAACCTGTTCACCTCTATCCTACACCTTCTACAGGTAGACGAGTCAACATTTGAACCTGTTCACCTCTATCCTACACCTTCTACAGGTAGGGTTGTCAACATCTGAACCTGTTCACCTCTATCCTACACCTTCTACAGGTAGACGAGTCAACATTTGAACCTGTTCACCTCTATCCTACACCTTCTACAGGTAGGGTAGTCAACATATGAACCAACCATTTCACCTCTATCTTATCCTGTTTGAAGGTCAGGTTTGTTACAGCTGCTTAAACCTGAACCAGTTAACGTCTAAGTTTTGTTATTGGACTATAAACTGTTGACAGGGTATATCAACAGAACTAGAAGCTTAGTACTGCTCATACTGCCAAGGTAGGTGAAAACACTTAACTGTGACAACATTTCCATTACCCTCTGACAGGAGTCATAATTTATTACCAATAACCTAATCTATGTACACCAGAGATTTATGCTTCCAATCTGAAGATTTTCAAGATATGAAACACTTACATTCGTATCATTATCAACAGAAATAAACAGCACTCCAAGCTGTGCCATTACCTCTCCTTCAAGCATACAGACTGTATGAAGGAGCTGAACAGGGGGACTTATGATATGGTGGTGTTGACAAAAGCTTGTTACTGAATGCCTGGAAACAGGGAGTTACTGATAACAGCATTATTGTTGAACTTACGTCTACTCTCAGCATTAGATAATGGTGTAGAGTAAGCTTTTCTGTTCTGTTTCCAGGTGCTCCCATCAGGGCTTTTCTTGGTGTTTCTGTTCTGTAATGCCTGCAGCCGACATCCAAAATGTAATTTCATTGTAACTTTTTGTTACTAAAAGGTGAGCATTATAAAAATGTGAAATCTGAGAAAATGTGCAAATTAAAGATTCATTTAAGTATTGATCCAGATTACAAACATATGTCTTAATAACTTGAAAATAAAAGTTATTACCTTAATGTAAGTGACATAATTCATATTTCACATCAGTTAAATATATTACACAGTAATAACAATCTTTGTTATAACTAAACTTAAAGGCACAATTTCACACATTTTAGACAATATTTTGGCCTATATTATACATATTGGTGCATGTGCACTTACTTTAGCTCCCTATTGACACAATAAAAGACTCCAAAGGAGTTATAGAATATTCTTAAAGAGAGCTCCAAGGGACATAACTGTATGGGGTTTGCTTAAAATAGTGTTCATCTGGTAGAGGGAGTGAGAGTTAATTTTATGCAACGTTGCATTAATCCATTCAAACGTTTTAATTCAATATTGTAATCTAAAGATGTAATTTTGGGGGGAATAAATTATATGGTAGCTTCCCTGAGGGCTGATAGTTGGTATTTTGAGAGAAAGGCATTTTTATCTTTAGAATAAAAGTTGATATTTTATCCGAGCTTTATCCTGTACTCATGCTCTTTTGCTTGTCTTTTACAAGCATAACCTAGAAAATCTAAAAACATCTGAACATGAGAAGAAATAATGTAATTTTCTGAATAAAATTGATATTTTATACTTATCCTGACTCATGCTCTTTTGCTTGTCTTCTTCTTCTTGCGAACATAGTGGAACACTTGTATCTCCCTAATTGAAGCTCCCTTCAATGTAAAATCACTAATTAGTACTCACCAAGAGTTGCCTCCCTCTTGCCAAATGCGCGGGAACGGAGGCGCCACCTCTGCCCACATGCTTCACTCTCTCCTTTATAACGAGCCCAACACTTGAATTTACAGGGAAATCCAAAGTGTTATGTGGGGAGGATGGGAGGGCTTACCTCATGAGTCAGGATAAGTATAAAATATCAATTTTATTCAGAAAATTACATATTTTTCCTTATCCTGACTCATGCTCTTTCGCTTGTAGAATCCTTTACGGAAACGGAGGAGGGAAAACAGAATACTTTGGATTTAAATAATTAGTGATTTATATCTATATGTAATAACCCCCTACGGGAACTTCATAATGGCACTGAATTAGGATAATTCCTGCTACTATAAAACATAAGTTCTACCAGCTGCCATAGATAGGGGTACTACAATAAATAGATACTATGATAATAGTAATAATGGTATAATAAGCGACTCCAAAGTGGAGACCCAATGTACATAAACATCAGTACTGGGCTTAAGACTAATGTAGACTTAAGATATGTATATAATTAGCACTAAAACTCCGTAGAGTTATAAGCTAGATGATACTGGTATAATATATACATAATAATCTCGTGAGACTATGTCTCATCGTCTACGAGGGACTGTCAACTGCTGTGCGAGGACCATGGGACCGAAATGGTGAATACCTGAGACGTCCTCGGTGGTGATATCTCTCAGATAGTGGTTAGCAAACACCATGTCGGATTTCCAAAAGCAGCCCTCCATAATGGTATTCAACGAGCAATTTCCGTGTAGAGCGAGTGTGGAAGCCAGTGCTCTGATTTCATGGGGATTAGATGCTCTTGGAGGGTCAAGTCCTGCAGCCTTGTAGGCACGAAGTATGACAGTTCTGATCCATATCGAAATGGTGGTACGAGAGACTTCGGTCTGAGTCGCTGTCGATAGAGGGATGAATAACCGCTTGAGTTGTCGTCGCCTCATTTTGGATCGTTGTAGATAGATTTTGAGTGCTCTGACTGGGCATAGAGATAGGTCAAGCGTATCTTGAGGTCCGAGAATTGAGGAGAGTGCAGGAACATGGAATAATCTGTCTGGTTGACCTGGCAATTGATTCTTGGCGATAAAATCCCATCGCAGTCCCATATGCACTATGTTTTGATTGTCGTCAAAACGTATTCTCTCATAATCTAGTGCGTGAATTTCTGACATCCTGGCTGCCGTTGCTAGGGATAACAGGAACAATGTTTTCTGTGACAGAAATTCAAAGGTTGTTGATTCCAGTGGTTCATAGGCCTCACTTGTGAGGTGTTGGAGCACTATATTTAGATCCCATGCTGGAGCGGCGAAATCTCTGTTTCTGATCCTCCAATCGGAATGAACGTAGTAAGGCGAGTAACTCTGGCGTCTTCGTTAACTTGACGCCCGTTCTCATAGTTATCACAGAACTTAGCGCTGCGAGATAAGTTGATAATGTCGAGCCTTTTAAATGTTTATTTTGTCGTAGGTAACACAGATAGTCAGCCACTTGTGGATGTGTAGCATTTCTCGCTGTAAATCCCTTTTTAGCAGCGTATGTTTCAAAACTGTGCCACTTGTCGTCATACAAGTTGCGCGTAGAATTGCGTAAAGCAAGCGTGACTGCTTTCGCCGCTCTGGCTGAATAACCTCTCTTGTTTAGACACACTTTAATACAGTCCATACGTGAAGTTGGAATGCTTCTGGGTTTCCGTGCACTTGTTTGGTGTGAGGATGTATTAGTAGATTCGAGCGCTTTGGTAGCTCTAGTGTTGGTTGTCCGATTTCTTGAATTAGAATGGGAAACCACGTTCTCGCTGGCCAGTAGGGCGCGATCAAAATCAGTTGGAGGCTCTGCGTTTGTCTGATTTTCTGTAACACTTGTGGAATTAGCGCTGGCGGCGGAAACGCGTACGCGTTGAGGCCTTCCCAGGATATGCTTAGTGCGTCCGTTGCCCACGCTTGTGGATCCGGGACTGGTGATACGAATGTTGTTAGCTGATTGTTGAAGCGAGTGGCGAATAGGTCTACTAGCGGAGCTCCTATTTCCTTGATAATCTGTGCAAAGATTTCTGTATGGAGCATCCATTCTGTCGGTGACGGTAGATGTGGCTGAGAGAGTGCGTCTGCTAGTACATTCTTGGCTTCCGGAATGTGGCATGCTCTGACATGTATGTTGAGATCGTCGATTAGATCGAACAGTTGAAAGCATAGAGTCAATAGGTTCAATGATCTCGTTGAGCCTTGTTTGTTTACATAAAACGCCACTGTTGAGTTGTCGGTGTGAATCATCAGATGCGCATTCTGTAGAATAGTGCTCCAATGTAGTAGGGCGTTGATTACTGCTTTCATTTCTAGCATGTTTATGTGCAGCTTGCTCTCTTGCTGGTTTCATAACCCTGATGCCGTCCGGTTGGCGAGATGAGCTCCCCAACCTTGGAGCGACGCGTCTACATAGAGATGGGTTTTGAATTCCGGCTCTGTTAAATAGATGCCTCCGCAGACATTCCACCTCCTGGTCTACCATAGTAGATGGGGTCTGACGTGCTTCGGTAGACTGAATGGTTGTAGGTCGTCGAGATGAGTGTTGATGAGGACCTGTAACGGACGTAACTGTAGTCTGCCTCTGACTGTCATGTCTTGGGCTGACGTGAGGAGACCCAACAGAATCTGCCAATGTCGGAGTGGTAGCGGAGAGAGTAAGGCTTGTGGAATGGTCAGTTGGATCTTGAGCCATCGGTCCTCTGGTACTACGATACGGTTCAGTGTCGTGATAAATCGAATGCCTAGAAATTGCAGATCTTGCGTAGGTTCTAGGTCCGACTTGAGTAGATTTACTAACCATCCTAGCTGTGTTAGTAGCTTGATGATGAAGTTTCACTGTAGTTTGAGACGCTGTGGATCTTGATCTACTTGAATCCCATCGTCGAGGTAGAACGCACTGCGTAGCCCTAGACGATGTAGGTAAGTGACGATAGGTTTCGTTACTCTTGTGAATAACCAGGGGGGCCGATGTTATTCCAAATGGCAGTACTCTCCATTGATAATGCAGCCCGTCTAGTGTAAACCGTAGGTATTTCCTGGATTCGGGATGTATCGGGATGTGTAGATAAGCATCCTGCAGATCTATACTGACCATGTAGTCCATGGGACGAATTAGGTGCCGTAATTGAGGTAGATGTATCATGCGAAACGTTGGCGGTTTGCGTAGATAATCTCTGTTGAACGTGCTCATGTTGTAAATGAGTCTGAACTTTTCCTTGGAATTTTTCTTGGGCACTAGGAAAACTGGGGAGTAGAAGCTTGGTTCGATGTTTACTTGATCCAGTACTTCTATGGCCTCCTTGGTTAGGAGAGATGTAACAGCCTCTCTTAACTTTGGTAGTTGTTGCGCGCCTGGAAGTCGAACTTGTGAGGGTTGACTGTAAGCGGAGGCGTGGCCTGTAGTTGGATTTGATATCCGTGTTGAAGGATGTTGGAGACATAAGGGTCTTGTAACATTCCCCAGTTCTCCCAGTGCAGTTGAAGGCGTCCACCCACTTGTGATGGTTGTACTGGAACGGCTGGGGGTGGAAGACTCCAGTCGTTCCGAACCCGTCTTTCATCGTTTATAGTTGCGGGAACCTCTGGGTGCCCTGCCTCTTCCAGATCCTCCTCTGTAGTTGCCATATGGGCGACGAAAAGAATCTTTTCCTCTTGCACTGACCATCTTCCTATCCCATGCTTTCTGTAAGCCAGTAAACTTAGATCTTCCTGAATATCTCTGAGATGTCTGCCTGATGACGCTGGCTAGCGTGTCCATCGACTTTATCATAAGGACTTCCCTTGAATCCTTTGGTGACTTCTTTAGAGACTTTATCTATACCTCCATCGAAGATAGACTACGGGGCTGTGTAGAGTGGGGAAGTAAACTGTTCACCCCAACTACAGGAAGCGAGGAGACCTTGACGACGAGCCAAAGTTAGTGCTGCGGAGACTGATGTAAGATGATCCGTTAGAAACTGCTGGTCCTTCTTCTGCATAAGGAGGGCCGAGTATATCATTCTATCATCCTCAGATGTAGAATCACGAGTCTCATTTACTGTTCTTGATCTGTTAAGGCCGAAGAACATCCTCCTTGTCATGGTTTCGATCTGAACCAGCTTGCGGTCGTCTATCTTGTAGGCCTTATTCTTTGCATCGTTGATTACTTTGAAGTTATCGTCGATTTCTTGTGCCTTGAAAAAAGGGGTCCATATTATTGGTTGAGAACTTTTTTGCGTTGAACTGTGGTAAGAGCGGCGCCTGGGCTTTAGTGGCTTTATCGGAGGTAGGGTGATGGTATCTGCATCGTCCTCCCTCATGAGGTAAGTGTGGGCCGGACTACCGTTCTTGGAAGGTGAAGCTAGGTCCAGGTTGTTAACCATCCAATAGCGTATTTCTGCGTCGGAGAAAATGATGCCTCCATCATCTTCTGTAACGGGATCGCTGATAAGAGGTTGATGCTCTTCCAATGGTGACTGAGGTGGAGACCTGTATACTTCTACAGCTGTACAAGGTGACGTAACGGAGACCTGTCTGGTGATTTCCGTGAAGACTTGTGAGGTGAACGGTGTGGTGACCTGCGAGGAGATCGGCGAGGTGAACGACGAGGTGATCGGCGTGGAGAACGGCCTGACGAGCTGCGTCTATATGGTGACCTTCCCGGAGATCTGTGTGGTGAACGCTGACAGCTTCGCGGAGCTCTTTGGGAATCCCTTGATGACCTTCTAGACGAAGATGACTTGGAGCCTGTAACTGGAGCCCTTCGCTAAGCTTCATCTGAGTCGGGTCCTGGGGAGTGACGACTTGACCTTTGCGAAGGCTGGGGGTCCGCGTCAGAGTCCGGGGATGAAAGGATCTTCCTTCGCGGACCTCTTCGTGAGCGTTGATCATCGGAGTCCGAGGTAGGTGACGATCTAGATGGCCTTCGCGAAGGCTGTACATCTGGGTCCTTCGCCGAGGTGGGCTGTGACGTCCTTCGCGCAAGTGGCTTCCCCAGCAATGACTTTGTAGTGGCCGCTACGTTGACGGGGGGTCCCTCTGGGGTGACGTCTATGTTGGAGCCTTCGCAAAGGCTCAGGCTCTGGGCTGGTTGTCTCTCCAGTCCGTATCGGTCTTCTATCATCTTCATGTGCAGCACCAGGTCGTCTGGGATGGTCTGCGAAGATGTAGTTGGTGCCCTCTCTGCAATGGTAGCGACGGGACCCTCAGGAAGATCATCAGACATCGGCGTTGGTACATCAGGCTGCGAGTAGATCTGCGCTGATGTCACTGTTGCCGACACCGGTCGTTTCTTGTGGCGTAGATCAGGTATGATGATCATCACACAGGCCCAGTTCTGCGGCGGGAACAATCTCGGCTGAGAAGGTTCTAGTAGACTTCGTCGATTTCCCCTTGGAGGTAGACGCTGCCCTGGGGGTACGGAATCTGCGTTGAGATGATGCAGAAGCCCTCTTAGTCTTTGGCTGCGACGACGGGATGTCTGGGGATGCAGGACGCTTCTTGGAGACGGTGGACTGCGTCCCAAGCCTCTCCTTCGAGGGTAACTCTAGAGGAACACCAGACGGGAGGGGGTCGTCCGACAGCAGTTGACTGGCGAGGGGTTCCGATGTATCGGCCATGGCTTAACTCTGTTTGCGTGACCTATTTGCTGCGCGTCTCAAGACGCAAAGATAATATTTGTTAAACGCAGAATTAGACAAATTATGACAGTAACTGCAACGTGAAGAAAACGCACATGATGCAGTACAGCTAGGGCATATTAAATGCGGATCAGCAGCAGAGAAACGTAATCTACAAACAGTACAGATTTTCATCAACGTAAACTGGCTGAACAATCACGGCATCCCGTGAATAAACAGCAGAATTACGAATAAATATCAATACATAATTGATGAAGGATACTAGCTACACCTCTATAGAAGACTATAAGATGTAACTAACTAAGAATAATCAAAGGATATAGTGTGTAGGGAGACACAGTCGCTCTCACATCCTGCTCACTGGGCGAAGACTGACTGACTGACTGAGTTTGGTTTTACGCCGCTTTTAGCAATATTCCAGCAACATCACGGCGGGGGACACCAGAAATGGGCTTCACACATTGTACCCATGTGGGGATTCGAACCCGGGTCTTCGGCGTGACGAGCCAACGCTTTAACCACTAGGCTACCCCACCGCCCCCACTGGGCGAAGAAGGAGAGAGTGAAGCATGTGGGCAGAGGTGGCGCCTCCGTTCCCGCGCATTTGGCAAGAGGGAGGCAACTCTTGGTGAGTACTAATTAGTGATTTTACATTGAAGGGAGCTTCAATTAGGGAGATACAAGTGTTCCACTATGTTCGCAAGTAGAAGAAGACAAGCAAAAGAGCATGAGTCAGGATAAGGAAAAATAACACTTTTCTAAAGAAAACCAAATGTATAAATAGATGACAACAATTTTGACAACTACCACTGCTCGTCTGAGATTGGCCTGTCCAACCTGGCGAGGAGAGTCATTGAAGTACTGCATGTGGGACTGAAACCGATCACATGGGCGTGGAAGCCTTCTGCCTTCTCCTGACCCATGCTGACACCCACAAGTACAATTTCATTTAAATTTCACATAAAAGTCACATAAATAGTTTGGATATATTTCAAGAATATTTCTCAAAACAAGTGATGTCATCATTCCTTGACTAGACAACAGAATGAAGAAAAAAAGAGAGAAACTTTTGCCAAAGAACTTTAATGAACTTATGGTGGCTCATGTTGTAACTCTACATTATTAACATTTACATTGGTTTTTAACAATTACACAACTTACTTTTAAAAATTCAGTTTATTTCTGTTTTTAGCAAGGTGTTGGTCAGAATGAACTGGTCAGCTACACCAGTAGTCTTGAAATGACACAACTAGCAACTATCAATAATTCACTGTAACAACATAAGTATCAATGCTATTGTCGTAATATGTGATGGTGTTAAATACTGCTTTGTTTTCTTATGAAATGTACTGTACATTCCTTTGTTCTGATAAAAGGTAAAAAACATTGTTGAGTAAGCATACTCAGTTGCACTGGATCGCTAAGAAGTCTCTTTCCCAGATAGCATTCGAACGTTGGGCCAACGTCTGAATGCTATCTGCGTTATTGAAGGAATAAAGAGTGTTTTATTTAATAGAAAGTTTAGCGTTAATCTCAATAAAAATATAGAATAAATGTTCAATCATGAGACAATCATTTGCATGAAATTGCTGGTATTAACTGTTGAAGGATAAAACATGCTGTGATAAGCTGGTAATAAGTTTGCAAATGATTCCAACTGAAAGACTTCAGTGTACTGGGTATCCAACCCTTCGTTACACACACTGCATTAGAACTGGAAATGCCTAGTGTAGGTACAATTTGTTGTTAAATTAAGTTTAATGAACCCAGCATCAAATATAAAGAATGTTTCATAAATATGTGTTGTTTTCTATTTGAAAAAGTCAATGAGTTTTCTATGCCCTGGTATTTAGATTGATACCAGTGATGGTGTTGACTTTGACTGATCCTGGACTAGTGGACGTTGTGTAAGGCCATACCTCGCCATGGCCAGACTGTGTTATATTCACCTGTCTGCAAACTGTTGTGAAGCACTTCTCTATGATGGGTGGAGTGTTGACAAAGCTGACGTACGCCTTATCCTGAACTGGCTGTAATAGACATGCTCTTGACTTGCATAATCTATATCCTGTTCAAATATTTAGGCCATACTTTTTTACTTGCAATACAGATATTTTCTGAGAAAATACCTGTTTGTGGGTTGAAAAAAGAAAGACACTAATTCAATTTGTTTCAGATTTTTTTCCACCATTACAGGTAGGCTTGCATAAAACATAATATAAAATGGTTTCATGAGGGAAGAGTACAAGTTACATAGCTGTTGTTTTAAGGAATGCAAACTTTAAACACATTAACTCGGAAACTGTATAAACTTCGGAGTAGATGTCTGCACTGAGAGGATAATCAGTTACAGTCACAGATGTATATATGTTTACAAATTCATGACGTCAAAAGGCATTACAGCCAGAGACCTCTCATATCTCTCAAAAACAAAAACATCTTGTATTTCTAAATTTTGTCACAGGAAACTGAGATCTCACTGATATAACTACCAGCTGAAGTGCCATGTGCTGCACTGTTCTTTGAAATTAAATTTAAGTTTTGAAATACATATCTGTCAGAGGACTGACAAGCAAGTTGGATCAGCAAAAGGAACTGGAGTAACCTCTCTCCCCTCATACAACAATGTATACAATAGTCCATCCATAGACTGGTAGATGTGGCCTGTGTAATTTTACGTCAGACCGTTGAATAAAAAACTTTGCAAACACATATAATTTCTTTCAAATTCTACATGAAAATCTTGTTTGTTTTTTAACAAAGTTAAACAAACTTACTGATAGCAGGGCATTGTTCAGATTTGTGTGTGCTCCGTAAAGCAAGCATAAACAGTGTGGCCTTAAACATCAACCTGAGTGAAATGTCCCTGTAATCATGGTAATGAGAAGAAATAGGTGACAACACATACCATATGATACCTAGTTCAGATTGCATTTACTCTCAACATTTGCCATCAAACATAGTCCTAGAATATAGGATTTAAATTACCTTGCTTAGGGAACATTTGTGTGTGTGTGTGTGTGTGTGTGTGTGTGTGTGTGTGTGTGTGTGTGAGTGAGTGAGTGAGTGAGTGAGTGAAGGAAGAAGGGGTTGTTGATGATTTTTATGGAGAAGAATGTACAATGTGAATGACCCCCCTTAATTTTATGTACATTGTAAGTGACTCCCCTGCATGTCATGTACAAAATCAATGACACCCCTCACCTCCCCTCCTCAGTTCATGTGCACAAAATTGATGACTCCCTCCTCCCCTCCCCCAAACAAAATGGATGACCCCCTTAAAATCATCATCGCCCCCCCTCCTAGCCATAAATTATTAACGGTCCGTTATAGTAAATATGGGATATGACTTTTATCCAAGATCAGTATCTCACTATAGTTATGTTCTTGATATCATATGAATATTCGCCGGTGTCAGCTTCCTCAAGAACCAAATTCAGTGCAGTTCACCTGGCACAAGCAAGAAATATTATTGTTTATGCCAGTAAAAGTGTTATAATTAAACCAGAGGTCAAGTTCAATCCATCAAGGTTTTTATTTTGAATCACCATCAGTGTTAATGTCCAAAGTTGACTGCCAGTTGTAACCCTTGTATAACCTTTAAACTACATATTGTCAGTAACTCAGTATACCATTCACTTAATGGTAAGTCAGCCACCCAGTGAAATCTCTGAACTTCTGTGACATGTTATCAGAGCAAATAAAATGTGATGATCTGTGACCTTAACACGTCTTGCAGGGCCCTCATACTGCAGATGATGTTTCCCATTGTATTTCTTAAGACAGGTTTCACTTCTGAAGTAAAACCACAAACATCTTCTAACAGAATTCACAAACACCACGATCCAACTTCATATCAATCATCAATCACATACCAACTTTCAATACTGGGTTATCCAATATGTGTCCACTGCACCTTCAAAAAGCCCCCATTTAACATAGAAAATCCATAGGCAAAGACTCAATATGAGTTGTCTGTGTCAAAGTGATAAATGTGGATCATCGGTACTCTACAACATGAAGCAATGTACTCCATGAAAATGCTTAACAAAGCTGAGGCTTATGTGGTCTCTTCATAAGGGCTGAAGCTGGTTATTAGAAAAATGAATCTATCACATTGTCACGGTCATGGTGTAAGAGATTTGGCACAAATTCTAAACCTTATCAAGCCATAGCCCTTGTATATAGAACCTGCTTTGAACACTCTGGGCACAAGAACAAGACAACAGGTAAATACTGTATAGACTGTGACAAATTAGGACGCTGAAGTCATCATCAAGGGAGCTACCACACTTACAACAGCATGTAACACTATACACAACAAAATGGCAATCCAAGTTAACCAGAGATTTTGAAAATTTTGGGAAAGAAATTTACCATTAAGCAAATTGAAATACATTTCTAGACTGAACTTAAACCAGATAGTGACTCTATGATGATAATAACACGCAGGATAAAGTGACAAGGATTGTGAGCTTGGCTATTAGGTGAGGTGAGGTGAAATGAGGTAAGGTGAAATGGGAATTTAACATCATACTTAAGAACATTCGCTCATATGACGATATGCATTCGCGTGTATGTGTGATTGCTTGTACTAGCCCAGACTTAAGCTGGTTTTATAGTGCTAGCTCATTGAGATACCATGCCGCAGTTAAGCATGAATACCCCACTCCGACACATTATACTAACTCCGAGCCGACCATTTCTTGTTGTACCCATTAATGCCGAGCACCAGGCAGAGACCATCAAGTACAATATTTTAATATCTTTTGGTATGACGCGGCTGGGGATCGAACCTGCGACCTTCCACTCTCCGGGCAGACTCTCTAACCACTACACCATGGAGGCAGTCGGGGATCGAACCTGCGACCTTCCACTCTCCGGGCAGACTCTCTAACCACTACACCATGGAGGCGGTTTAGGTTGGCTATGAAGAGTTATGACAGACATACAAATTTAGTATTAGCACCACCAATAGAAAATACTTTTACTAGTAACATTTCTGAATGTACACACCAATATTCAGAGCGAGGTTCCAGAAAACTTCTCAGTGAATTTCCTTATCATTGGAAATAAGAGGTATGTTAGGGTTGACGAGTCTGGGAAAACATCTGTATTGTTGGAAGGCAAAAGTACTCATGATACTATCAAATCAATATTTATCATTTCAATGGTGACATGAACACATCGCTAAATGCTCTTATGCTGTGAGAGAGAGAATACAGAAGGCAATACATACCAGGAAATAGTGACACTGTTGAGATTAAGGGTTAAAACAGATTTGAGGGGCTCATGCTTGTCAGGTTCAACACAATTACTTGCTGATGTGAACCAATGTTTTGAGTCTGCTAGTCCTTTATGTATCCTTACATAATTCTGCTGTTTAGCTGTTAATACAAGATCTGAAACTATTATCTGCTGAACATGTAAGACAGAAATTTGCTTTGGACTAGTGGTCAATACTGCAGACCATTATTTGTATATAGTATGACCTTGGGACATGGCGTCTGTACTTTACACGGCAGCCTGTACAAGGGAATGTGCTGTATTTACTTAACCAGCCAATTGGATCTATCTTAGGTTGTCGAGAAACCCAGTGCACCACACTCTTAACCCTCAACAAATACCACATGTTGTTTCTACCCTCAGACATAAGAGTCTATTGCTTTTCTAATTTGTCATATGGAGAGTATATAATTACTGGGTAACCCTTTCCAGTCATGCTCAATGATAACGGGGTGTATTTCTGGCCTAGAAAACTTCTTTTGGGGAGAAAATCAGCTTGAAATTAAAATTGAGTGTGTGAGTCAAATGTAACAAAATTTGTATTTCTCTCTTACCGTTTATATTACTAACATTATATGTGACCTCCTAACCTAACAGAGTGGAAAAGAATGACTAATATTGGGAACATTTAAACTCAGAAATATATCAAATCAAAATACACAAGTGCCTGACCATTACAAGCAATTCTCCACTAATATGGCATCATCCTTAATATAACAATGGCAAGACCAGACAAATCAGTGAGTGTTATAATGGACATGATGAATAATGTAGTATGACCGACTACTTCATGTAGAACAAGGCTTGTTTCAGCACAGTTGACTGTATTCATTCACCCTTTCACACAGCTTCTGTCAACAATTTGTGATAGATCATTAAACAGGAGCCTGTAAATGTAAGCCGGGACCATACAAAATACAATAACTGCACCTACACACAAATCAGGTCACATACACAAGGTTCTATAAATAACATTACATTTGATTCTATGGCATGTATTCAATGCTACAAATATTAGTTTTGATCTCTATTTTATAAACGTGATTAATTTTGCCCTTCTGGGTTTCATATATCTAAAAGCACATTTTGGACAAGTACATATATTGTGTCCAAAGTACTCACAATGTTTGTTAGTGATCACACTAATCAGACCATGAATTTTCACTACTGATTAAGACTTTGTAATTGTACAAGAAAATCCAGTAACCTCTCACTCAATGCTAATCAAGGCTAAGATGTTTTGATAACACCAGGTATTATAAGTTATAACCTTGATGAGCAATTGATTTTATTGAGTAATTACTATTGCACCAGGACATCTGTAGCTTGATATCTACAGCCATATTACACCAAGCAAAGAGAAACCATAAAGCAGTGCAAACAATGCAAGAAGCAAGGGCAAACTCAATGCAAATAAAAATGAAACCTACATCCAAATCTGTTGAGGATTTCTTTGATAAACTGCTACTTCCACAGAAAGAATCATCTTGTTTCATATCTTCAGCACTTGGCAATATCTGCGGCAAACTCATTTGTTTGCCTGTAATTGCCATGTCTCGTAGAACATCATGGCGCTTAATTTCTGATGGATGCAAGAATAACTTCCCATGAACAGGTTTACGCCTCATTTTGTCAGCACTGGAAAAGGTTTGAATGTCCTCCATAACTCGCTGAATTGATGTTGCCATATTCTTATCACAATAGTCAGAACAATATATATCAAACTTCACCTTGTAAAACTTACTGATATATGGTGTTATAACAGTGTATCTTCATAATCTTGGAGAACACATTCGTAAGGATTATTGCTTGTTTTTTGTGATGAGACAATCTAGTTTCCACTGTGGTTAGTTTCCATACCTGTTGCACTTGTAAGATCCCCTGCAAACACATGTACTTTCCTGTGTCTTGGCTAGCAACAGTCACTCCTTCTAAACTTGTATATGGCTGAATATGGAAAAATGAACCATCAGAGTCTGTATGTCAGCGTTGGTCGTGTACATATTCTCCACTGAGTCAAGAAGGACTGTCTTAGTATTTTATGGCCTACTGACAGATCACTTTCTCAAAGTGACTGCTCTGAGCAGATCTCTCATCACGTTAAATTACCCCCTTGTGACTGTTTTATGGTGTCATTCTTCATTGATTAGCTCATCTCTTTATATATACGCAATCCTTTTTAAATGAGTCACACATAAAAAAGAATTGGACAAAACAATTTTTTTTGCAGAACTCCAATTTCTGTTTGCTTTTCTGGATTCAAAAGTAAATTTGATCTTACTTGAGCATAAACTATATTCTTGTCTCAATTCTGACACTAAATAAATTCTGACTTTGTTTTGGCATATCATCATATTCCTCACTTTACATCCTTAATCATGCAGCAGTCCATGTTGAAAGTGTATACCTAATCCTCCTCTTGTCCACATGAAAATGACACAGGAACATTGTTACCGTTAACACATGCATCCATTATGAGTCTGTGACCTGAGACCTCAGAACAGGTACTATAACAACCCAACAAGACTTCTGTGACCCGAGACCCACAACAGGTACTATAACCAAATGACAAGACATCTGAGAGCCAATGCGTGCACAACAACACCAATGAAAAGGTGCTGCCAGTTTATCACCCTGACATGCTATTGGTTGAGGAATTAGCTTCCCCAATCCTACCTATTGACAGTGTCTTGGCATAGGGGTAACACGCTCCCACACCAGGATTCCAACATGGAGAGGGAAAACAATGATCAGTCATCATCCATCAAGGAGACAGGAAAGTGTCATCACAAATCATTACGTGACCAGAAAGACGTTCCCTTCAAAGGGTAGACGAATCATCAATCCCCCCTACAAAGATAGTTACCTCTTATGGGGGACTTGGCAACCTCTTCACAAATCTCCCCAAACTTCAACAGGCAACAATGACACCCTACACCCCCTGGTAAATAAATGCAGAAAAACCTGTCAAGAACAAATGAAAGGTTTAAACAATGGAACCCATACTCACTAGGATACGCACTTTACACATCTCATGGGAAATTGATTTGAGCCCTGTCAAATGTAGGGATAATGTTAATCAATTGTTATTTTGATTCATCCACTAGATTTCAGTACCTAGCTGTGACAAGATAGTGTCATGTAATGACAAATATGATTCAACTTTGAGTCTCTCTTCAACTCTGAGACTATAAATCACCTAAGTTTAACTGTTGCACTCTAGATAAACATTCTCATGGGTAGAAACAACATGATAGTGACGCCTAAAACGCTCTCAATTCATTGACCTCTAGTGTAATTTACAATATTAGAAGCAATAAAGGGCTTTGGTGCAAACATTAATTGTCTGTCTCAGTGCAAAGTAGACATGTGTAACATCATTTCTTATTACTTCCAGCTTGAGGAACAACTGTATTGATGAACTGTATGTGCACTAGCGCTTTAGTTTATTGTTTGTACCATCTAGACAGCATTGATTTCTTCAATCTTACTGAGAAGACATTATTCCTGTTTTCTAAGAGGGCAGCTGTGATCAGTGATCACTTTTGAAAAGGGGTCTGATGAACCCTCTGTGTTGCAGTGTACCCTGAGTATTGCCGTTCTTAAAGACTCATTGGCATCGTTGAATCGCCCATCCTTGAATATGTCAAAGTCTCTACAAAATGGTGGAGATTTCAAATATCTGTTGAGACTGTGCCTAACATTCTCCAAAGTTGATGTCTTGTATTGGTTACCTGTTTGAATTCTGATATCCATCTAGAAATGACTAAGCATCTCGGCTAAAGCCACGTGGTCCATTATTTTTAAACTTGTCTTTTTCTGCAAGATATTCTTTAAAAAGTTATGCTGACACATTATTCGCTATCTTGGTGTATTCTGGGATCAGTTTAGAACATTTGGCTGTGATATCTTCGAAGTGTTTGGTGGCCATTGTTTCCAGGTAAGCTACAATAGATGCTTATTTGTTTACTTCAGAACTCATAATTGTGTGAACCTATATTTCTCTTAACCGATGCAAACCCAATAACCCTGTGAGAAGTATTTCATACCTGAGTTAGGAAAATATGCTGTTGTCAAGCCCGGGGGCATAGTTTTTCAGTTATACCCCTTTATAACGGTTTACACAGAATTTTGTAAAAACTGCATTGACCAATCAGATTACAGTGTTTTACATGTAAGGTAAGATAACACAGCATATGAACTTCACGCAAAATATCAGGCAGGGTAATAACAAGAACCATCTTTTGAGGTCCTCTCATATGTACCACCCCAGCCACGATCCCTGAATCCATCCCCGTGGTTCTCCTCATGTTAAATTACATGATCTTTATTAAGTTTGATAAACATTTTACAAATCAAACACTGAGATAAGGAAAAATGAACTCTAAAGGCGGAACGACATGGAGATGTCTTTTCCTATGGATGTAGAAAGTGTTTTGCTGCTTTTATTTACATCAAACTTAATTATTTGCTGGCTTTGTTTTGTGTGTCAGCCAGTTGTTCAGTGTTGGATTTCTTATGAACTCCATCTTAATCCATGAGACTGGTTGCAATGTTGTTTATTATAGTGACGATTTGGTATGGTCGGATGACTTACTTTCATGCTAATTAAAACGATTTGTTGCTTTCAAATGTATATTTATTTGACATTTCATTGTTACGATTCTGCAGCAAAAGGACTATAGTTACTGGGGGGCTTATTACCTTCATGCAGAGAGTAATCATATCAGTGTAGAAGATAACATTTTAATGGAAAGTTCCTACTGATCTGACCCTAAATGAAACATATATAGCACCACTGTTTGCACCCATTGATCATAGACCCTTCAATCATTCATTGCATCTATACATCTAACATCAATCTGAATCTACCATAACATGATCACTACCCAAGTACCAACAAGAAGACAAAGTCATCAATATCCCCCTCAATGGCAAAATACTCTTCATGAATATGTCAATTAGTTATGACTGTGTCAAATGCTTTGGTGTGTATATGGCAGTGAGTGAGTGAGTGCCACACTCAGCAATATTCCAGCTAAATGGCAGCAGTCTATAAATAATCAAATCTGGACCACACAAATCTGTGATCAACAGCATAAACATTGATCTACGCAAATGGGATATCATGATATGTGTTGACAAGTCAGTGACTATATTGCAAAGTGGAAGGAGAGTATTGAAAGGTTTTAAAGAACTGCTTTGGAAAAGACAAATTTGCACGGATGGACGGTCCATTTTTAGGCCATATAAGTATATTGTATGTGCTGTCAAATAGCTTGCTCTCTTCACATTATCATGATTAAGAACATATAATACCCATGAAAATTTACTTCCATTCTCAGAACCTTATAGTGGATCTTGCTTTGAAACATATCATCCATGAAATGTATGTTTTATATTAATATTCCATCTGTTAGCCAAGTTCCAGCAATCACAGCTTTAGAAAATATTCATGGTAATTTCATTAACAGATTATTTTCCATTTTTAAGACTGATCCTGATATGAAACATACCTTTTTATACGGGACCCAGGAGTTGAGTGCATCAACCCATACTATTTTCTCACTTCCTTTCTGATAAGTGGGTTCCTCCCTTCCCTCATCCCAAACTGAAGACTTGAGATGGGCAGGGGGAGAGAGATGATCTTGGACAACCTGGGATGGGTTGTCCCGGCTGGTAGCATCCTCATCTTCAATGGAATCACACCATGTGAACCTTGTTGGAGTACGGGAGGGTAGTGTAGGACTTCGGATCTTACCACCCTGAAGTGCAATGTTTCTTTCTATCAGTGGTTCAGAAAATACCACACTCAAGACTTGAATAAAGGTATCATTGTCTAGGAACGAGGGAATGAACAAGGTCAGCATGTGGCATGATTCCAGTGATGAGTAGTGTTGGGAACTGGTTTAAAATCTCATAATTGATGATTGGTTCATTACAACCGATCAATCCTCGAAAATAATTGGTTAGAGTTATTTATCAAATCTCCCTGACTGAGCTTGTTAATGCACAAAAAAATCTAGAAAAAAAACCATGTAGTTAATTTGGGATTTTTTGGCAAACTGCACAAAATGCATTTGCGAATTTCACATCTTTAAAGGATGACTAGTATGTTAGGAACATAAATTTCATGGAGTCTTTACATGACTTGGAACAAGCTTGCAGTGCTTATGAAATGCTACAGACAAAACCAATCTTGTGAAAAATATTGTTAATGCAAACAAGTGTTCCAGAATTGTTTGTGTTCGATTATGAGAAAACATGATCGATTGCTTGGTCGTTTAGTCATTGCGACCAATCATCGATTATTTCAATTAATCGGACCACCACTAGTGATGAGATTGCACACAAAATCAAGCAGTCACTGACTTTAGCATGTACTAGACTAAAAATAAACTTGTGACAGAGTTAAATTGTCATAATGATTTACACATTGTAAATGTTTGGGTTTTAAACTTAGTTTAATATTTGAAGTTACAGCTTGGCTTTATCATACAAAAATTCATTATTAATTATTACCAGTGCAAGCGACATATTAGGATTCAGGTATTTGGAAACTATAAATACAGAATATTAGTTATGTATAGTTATTTTGAGAAAGACACCAGTTTAAAGCAATTATAACTCATCTTACAGACATACTTTTCAAAAATGTATAAAATACAACTACATAATACATGTATTATACTCAACACCAAAAGAGATGCAAAATTCATCAATATCTACTGTGACATAAATCTACAGTGTTGAATACAGTACTTCAATAGGTATCTGATAAGTAATCTAATGCAGTGCAACTAATCAATTCATTTATAACTTAAATATATTAAAAGGGCGAAATACACCAGTATTCAGTAAAGTAGTTTTGATTCAAGGTACACTTATTTGAAAAAAGAACATGTTAGTTTAACTTGAGCAATTCTTGAAGAATCAAGTCCAAGACTTTTTGTGATTATTCAAGCAAATAAACTGAAAAGATGAAAAAGCATGGTCTAACAATTCTAATTACCAATAAAAATTGTAACATACCGTATATTACCCCCAACCCCCCCAAAAAGTACTAAAAAAATATATACTAGAATCTGTACTTCACTGAGAAAATGTAATCCCAAATATAACGTATGTTACATTTGACCACTTTCTAAAATGGCATTGTGTATTTCACAATCAAAATTGATTATTTGTTGTCTTTGGAAAGAAAGATGGAAAGAAAAGTCTTCTTTCCTGGCCTGCCATGTACCTAGCTTCTTCAGAAACTGAAGGTATTGAGGACCATATCAATAGTATTAGCAAGTCCAACCTCAAATTTGTAGTGCTTTATAAATAGTTCTTGCCTGGAGTGTTATCATTGGAGACTTAAAGTTTGTCCCTGAATATCCACTTCATGCTGTAGTTCAAACAATGATCGACGACTTGAACAAATACACCTCACTGAGTACATAGAATCTATGTTATGTGTAAGTTAATGACGTATTCAGTTTTGCATATTATCTTCAGTTAAATTTGGTGTTATTATAAGTGAACAAGTAAAACCACTTTCAGTCACATAAGTAAGATATCATAATAATAATAGAAAATATCTCTGGTCAAAATTATCATTTTTCAAAAGAAACAGATGAATCGAATAAATGAAAAACATTTTCAACTTTTGACAAAGTTTTATCTAAAACATTTCTGACCAAACTTTTAATATATAATTAAGTAATTACTGATATTGGTATTTTGTCAGAGCATAATGGATCATGGTTTCTGTAATTGTATACGGCAGACTGTGATTATAGTCATAAAACATTAGTCGAAATCCTGGATATAGAAAAACTTATTAAACATGTCTACAGCCCTTGAAATTCTGGGTATTTTTAACTCGCCCAGGGAAAAAGTTCAAACCTTAATTCACTAGGCCATGGTATATGCAACTGGTCATGCAACTAACCCTGCTCAAACAAGAAAATAATGTTTGCCACAAGTCATTGAACTAGAATCATTGATTTTGACTGAATTTGAACTAGAATGATTGGAATTTAATAGTCAGTTATTTTTTGCAAATGAATATCACAAATTTCTAAAGTGGTCCCCATATAATAAGCCTAAAATATACCCAAGAGGAATTTACAGGACGCGAATTCCTGTGTCTTATACTCATAAAAATTGACAATGGATGCAACAAAGTATATTAGCACATCCAAAGGGACTCAGAAAAAGTCTAAATACTTACTGTAAAAATTCCAATCAAGTGACAATACATTTTCACTGAGTCTGCTACTAGCTGGGATATGGTATTACTTGCAATTTAATTACTGTAACAATGTGATGATCATGATACACAATACAATAACAGTATATTTAACATGTCTGGGACCCCCATTTTGTTGTCCAGGACCACTGATAATTAAGAGTAGGAGTCCCAGGGACCTTCAAATACAGGACTCCATGTAAATCCCTGCTACATAAACTAAATTTTAAACCATTTAGATTCGAAAGGCTTTGGCACATGTATACTGTATGCCATTTACAATCATTTACAATAAAATCTGACCTTTTCCTTTATGTTATTTTGTGAGAATTATGAATGTATCACATACACATTTCTGTAAATACCTTCAAAATTGAACATATAAAACAATGTTTATTCCTGTTCTTAGCCTCCAATGTTGGAACCACAATGCCAAAAGGCAAATGGATGAATAATGGTATAACAGCTTATCTTGTTAACTCATACCACTGCAAACACCCATCCTGGGTGAATACACTGAGAATGATTTGACTGTAGTAGAATCAGGATACAATACAGATGTTAAAGTGACACGACATGGCTTTAACTGGCCATGAAATGCACACAATAAATATACTGACAATCTGCAAGAATGTAGACATATTACTACACTAAGTTTGGTCAGTGTTTTATAGAACTTGCCTAATTTGTATGCAAATAGTCTACATGTAGATATTCCATGAAATCTAGTTATAATAGTTCAAAACGAATCATGACACCATATTATTTTGATACCTTGAACATTCAACCATTAAATACTTTTTCAGATTTTGAGGTTTGCACACTAATAGCTACTTAGAAGCCGTTAATATAATGCAAAACGATTTTAGAGCATCTTCGCTTTCGCATGTCAAGATTTGATTTCTTTGAAGCATATCCACATAACAGTTATCTTAAATAATAAACAAAGCTAAACTAAATGCAAAGTTAGCGTCCTACTCACATTTTTAAATATTGATTGTTCGATGTAATAGCTTCTGAGATAGTCACGGTATGTTGTGGCGTGACACTGCAACGGTAGAAGCTTTTCGAAGCCAAAACTTCCATATTCTCTAGATCTACATATGATTCCACAACCTCGCGACTTGCGGGTGTAGTCCCGAGAGATTCTAAATGGCGTTGAAAATCTGTCTTCATCAAATAAGTCTGAATCATAGCTTATCTCACAGAGGGTAGGAATGCACGCCATCAATGACGAAAGAAGGCCACTCAGGGCCACTGTCTTCAACACAACTTCATATTCATATAGTGATATTTACGGCCATCCGACGCCAGACGGCCCAGTGTCATCTCGCCAGCATGTCGACGTTCTATCTTGCACGAGACAAACAAAATGAGCGTGGTGAGGTGATGTATGGAGTCCCACCAGGGTCATGAAGTCTTTTAGCGGAAATCCCACAAGAACCTATAGATTATGCAATAGTCTAAATAACTTAATTTCCCTTTTGTTGTCATATGGATAACCAACTTCTTTTTAAAGATCACATCCGTCGTAGACATCTAATTATGACAACCTTCTCAAGAGCTCTCCAAAACATTCCTCGAGTCTAATCGTTGAATGGAAGGACCAAATAATAACATACAATTATGGTGACTTAACCCAAATATTTGTTCAAATATCACATGACCATAAGTTTTACGGTCGTTACTTAACATCGGAATAATCATGAAAATTATATATTATTTGCGGAATATGCTTTATCGTTTGTTAAAAAAAATTCTGGAGTTATCTCCCCTTTGGGAAAATCATGTACATTACCCATGTTCGAATGACCAAAATAGTTCATAGTGTTCGACGTGCCTTTATCGTGTCCAATAAAAAGACTGATATCAATGTCAACATTGCCGAATTATGTACAGACTGTATGAAGGTATATTAACACCCATGCGTCATCAACCGGAAATCTCTAAGCGGCCGAAAACTGCTTCTGTAAGAACTGTATTGCTGTGTTGTATTGTATTTCTTATACATATGCCCTTCTAACACCTGCAATAAATGTTATCTAGCTCAGTGCCAATGTTTGGTTAGGATTGCCACACGCTGTGCTTATTGTATTCTGTTCCTACATGTCGTTGCGCAATGGGCTCTGGAAGCTTAACAAGCTCTGCACGGCCTTATCAACCACCCACTCACAAATATTGTACCTCCTTCCACTGCTGCACACGAGTTTTGACAATTCAGCCTGAACCATTTCGTTGTAGTGACACTAAGCACACGATCTCCGTGGAGATTCCGGATCGGAATTAGCTATTGCTTAGTCTCTGAAAATATATGATTTTGATAAAAACAAATCACTCCCTTTTGATTGAAAAGAAAACTTAAAACTGGGACAGCTTTTCAATGTATATATTTAGTTGCTTGTTTCTATCAAAATATTCTACTTTCAGGCACTTTAATGACTTCTGTTGTTGACATATACTAGATTAGTATAGGGCGTTTTGTCCACATTGTATGTATGTTGAGGTACACCATACTGTTACTCAGTGAACACAGATAACACAATCAGGGGGGACAGGTCTGTAGATGATGCATGCACACTGGCGGGGTATGCACATGGCAGCTGGCAGCTGAACGTGGTGCCGGAAATAAGATTTTCCTACCGCTTCCAAGAACTGGCTGATCCCCCAACTTGAACCACACCGGACATCCCCAAATCTCCAGGGGTATACGTTAACGATTGGTATATATGTCCTCCATAAGTGGCTATATGAATTATTTCCACTTTGAATTTCATGTTGTAAAATCGGTCTGTAGCATTTCTTAACATTTGTGACAATACTTAGCACCAAAGTGTTGAGGTATGTCTACATTAAATATCTGCTGCAGGGAGGCGACAAATTGTCCCAATACCAAATACTGTGTGGTCCTTTTCATTATTTATTTTAGATAAGAGTAAAATTTCGACCTTTGGTATATTTAGGTATTCGTAGTGTTCGCTTCACTATGCAAGCCATGGCATTTACCTTGTATGTGGTATCAGAGACCATATAATAGATTATATATATATGGTCTCTGGTGGTATTCAAACAAAGTATTTCAATATCAGGTAGCATTTTGTTTGCTTGTTGATTACCAGGAACCGTTGGCGGCCAGTGTGTATTACCAAAGTACGTTGAAATGGTTGTCTTTATCGTAAAGACAATACCGACACAGAAAGATAATCTGTATTGTCAGCCATGTTTATTTTACAAAAAACTATCTTTTTTTATCAGTTCTTTTTATGCAATGCGGCTAAATTCAGCCAACCCCTTATCATCCCGACAATAATTTGTGCTGTTCAACCAACCGCTTAATTCTGGTATGAACTGGTCGAAATACTCACGCCAACCTATTTATATCCTGAGTCAAAGATTTCAGGTGAAGGAGTGAGAATTAACTCAGAAACGTCGCGATTAACAAATAAAGAAATTGATATTCAAAACCATATTGGACTCTTGCTCATCACTTCTGCCCTTAAGAGAACTTGTTTTTATCCTAATGTGCCATTTCACAGACAGATCTCTAGATGTCTAATGAGAAACATTGCCCTTTTGAAAGCGCTCGTAAAATCTCAAAAACCCACTCAGCCTCTGAAGCTTAGACAAAGAGGGAGTCGGAGATTACAGACTTAACCAAAGAGAACCTCCAGAAAGATGTTCTTTGAGTGAGTGAGTGAGTATGGTTGTACGCCGCTTTTAGACATATTCCGGCAATATCACGGCTGGGGACACCCGAAATGGGCTTCACACATTGTATCCATGTGAGGAATCGAACCCGGGTTTTCTGTGTGACGAGCTAACGCTTTAACCACTAGGCTACCCCACCACCCCTTTACTTTGCAAAAAAATACCATGTACAAAACCCGTATTCCAACGTCCCTTATGAGGACGGATGAAGCTGTATAAAGATAAATGAAGGCGACAATCAGATTTCACTTGAAGCGTGCGTGTAATCTCCAATATTGTTACTGACAGATTGATCTTTCGCTAAAGTGAGTCCATGTAAACACGAAGACGACAATCGATGAAGATTGCACTTCCACTAAGGTGAGTCCATGTAAACACGAAGACGACAATCGGTGCAGATTGTACTTCCACTAAGGTGAGTCCATGTAAACATGAACACGACAATCGGTGCAGATTGCACTTCCACTAAGGTGAGTCCATGTAAACATGAACACGACAATCGGTGAAGATTGTACTTCCACTAAGGTGAGTCCATGTAAACATGAACACGACAATCGGTGCAGATTGCACTTCCACTAAGGTGAGTCCATGTAAACACGAACACGACAATCGGTGCAGATTGTACTTCCACTAAGGTGAGTCCATGTAAACATGAACACGACAGTCGGTGAAAATTGTACTTCCACTAAGGTGAGTCCATGTAAACACGAACACGACAATCGGTGCAGATTGTACTTCCACTAAGGTGAATCCATGTAAACACGAACACGACAATCGGTGCAGATTGTACTTCCACTAAGGTGAGTCCATGTAAACACGAACACGACAATCGGTGCAGATTGCACTTCCACTAAGGTGAGTCCATGTAAACCTGAACACGACAATCGGTGCAGATTGCACTTCCACTAAGGTGATTCCATGTATTAAACATGAACACGACAATCGGTGAAGATTGCACTTCCACTAAGGTGAGTCCATGTAAACACGAACACGACAATCGGTGCAGATTGTACTTCCACTAAGGTGAATCCATGTAAACACGAACACGACAATCGGTGCAGATTGTACTTCCACTAAGGTGAGTCCATGTAAACACGAACACGACAATCGGTGCAGATTGCACTTCCACTAAGGTGAGTCCATGTAAACCTGAACACGACAATCGGTGCAGATTGCACTTCCACTAAGGTGATTCCATGTATTAAACATGAACACGACAATCGGTGAAGATTGCACTTCCACTAAGGTGAGTCCATGTAAACACGAACACGACAATCGGTGCAGATTGTACTTCCACTAAGGTGAATCCATGTAAACACGAACACGACAATCGGTGCAGATTGTACTTCCACTAAGGTGAGTCCATGTAAACACGAACACGACAATCGGTGCAGATTGCACTTCCACTAAGGTGAGTCCATGTAAACCTGAACACGACAATCGGTGCAGATTGCACTTCCACTAAGGTGATTCCATGTATTAAACATGAACACGACAATCGGTGAAGATTGCACTTCCACTAAGGTGAGTCCATGTAAACACGAACACGACAATCGGTGCAGATTGTACTTCCATTAAGGTGAGTCCATGTAAACATGAACACGACAATCGGTGCAGATTGTACTTCCACTAAGGTGAGTCCATGTAAACACGAACACGACAATCGGTGCAGATTGTACTTCCACTAAGGTGAGTCCATGTAAACATGAACACGACAGTCGGTGAAAATTGTACTTCCACTAAGGTGAGTCCATGTAAACACGAACACGACAATCGGTGCAGATTGTACTTCCACTAAGGTGAATCCATGTAAACACGAACACGACAATCGGTGCAGATTGTACTTCCACTAAGGTGAGTCCATGTAAACACGAACACGACAATCGGTGCAGATTGCACTTCCACTAAGGTGAGTCCATGTAAACCTGAACACGACAATCGGTGCAGATTGCACTTCCACTAAGGTGATTCCATGTATTAAACATGAACACGACAATCGGTGAAGATTGCACTTCCACTAAGGTGAGTCCATGTAAACACGAACACGACAATCGGTGCAGATTGTACTTCCATTAAGGTGAGTCCATGTAAACATGAACACGACAATCGGTGCAGATTGTACTTCCACTAAGGTGAGTCCATGTAAACACGAACACGACAATCGGTGCAGATTGTACTTCCACTAAGGTGAGTCCATGTAAACATGAACACGACAATCGGTGCAGATTGTACTTCCACTAAGGTGAGTCACTGTAAACATGAACACGACAATCGGTGCAGATTGCACTTCCACTAAGGTGAGTCCATGTAAACCTGAACACGACAATCGGTGCAGATTGTACTTCCACTAAGGTGAGTCCATGTAAACATGAACACGACAATCGGTGCAGACTTTACTTCCACTAAGGTGAATCCACCTATTACTTTTATTTGCCGTTTCATTGCACTCCGTTTTATTCTCTACATACGATATGTGAAACCGTATACATATGCTTTCTGGCATTCTTAAAACATTAAGTAATGAAAATGTATAATGACTATCTATGCATGTCAACATACTTGTCCTTTTTCATGCCATTATCTTTAATAAATACATGAATGGTCAAACTGTGACCTGTAACGGTTGCCAGATACACTACGGTGACTGTATTCAGCGTTAATTGACCATATCGGTTGCCAGTTACACCACGGTGACTGTATTCAGCGTTAATTGACCATATCGGTTGCCAGTTACACCACGGTGACTGTATTCAGCGTTAATTGACCATATCAGTTGACAGTTACACTACGGTGACTGTATTCAGCGTTAATTGACCATATCGGTTGCCAGTTACACCAAGGTGACTGTATTCAGCGTTAATTGACCATATCAGTTGACAGTTACACTACGGTGACTGTATTCAGCGTTAATTGACCATATCGGTTGCCAGTTACACCACGGTGACTGTATTCAGCGTTAATTGCCCCTATCGGTTGCCAGATACACCACGGTGACTGAACTCAGCGTTTATTGCCCCTATCGCTTGCCAGATACACCACGGTGACTCTACTCAGCGTTAATTGACCATATCGGTTGCCAGTTACACCACGGTGTATGAACTCAACGTTACTTGCCCCTATCGGTTGCCAGATACACCACGTTGACTCTACTCAACGGTAATTGCCCATATCGCTTGCCAGTTACACCACGGTGTCTGAACTAAACGTTACTTGCCCCTATCGGTTGCCAGATACACCACGGTTACTCTACTCAACGTTAATTGCCCATATCGGTTGCCAGATACAGCACGGTGACTGTAGTCAACGTTAATAGCCCTTATTGGTTGCCAGATACACCACGGTTACTGTACTCAACGTTATAGTTTGGCATGAAATGCATGTGGACCCGGTTTTTTGTAAATATATCTTCATCCAATGACCCAATCGATCTCAAACTGTGCAAGTGGATGTTTTGTCAGACAACCTAATCACATTGTAAATCACCGATTTTATGCATTTGTATTAAAGAATCTGTCTATGTAACTGTCAACAAAATAAACAGCAGAACGCAGACGGCTTGCAGAGGGAGGGAGCCAATGACCTGTAACAGCGGCAGTGTTGGGTCCACGGGTCCACGGGTCCACATGCATTTCATGCCAAACTATAATTGCCCTTATCGGTTGTCAGATACACCACGGTGACTGTATTCACCGGTAATTGACCTCAGCAGACATCATTTGTCTATATTGCATGGCTTTCCATGGAGTTAATAGAAGGTATATGTATGGCTACCTTCTCGTTTATGCTTCTAATGATTCGTTTTAACAGCACGTGTGTGCCAGCTGTGATAGCAATATTGCTCTCAACGCCAATAAATTAATACATAAACGAGGTGAGCAAAAAATGTGGCATTTATTTTGTGTTGACTCTGTTGTTCTAAGCATACAATGTCCGTATGATAGGTATAAGAACGTAATTGATTAAAAGTACACTCTCTCTCTCTCTCTCTCTCTCTCTCTCTCTCTCTCTCTCTCTCTCTCTCTCTCTCTCTCTCTCTCTCTCTCTCTCTCTCTCTCTCTCTCTCTACTTCGTGTGTTTGTTAGTGTGAGGTGTGTTTGTTTGTTTGTGCATACAGTTTGTACTTATCAACCTGTGGTAAGTGGAATCCCCTTAGTAAAGCAGGTCGAAGATGTTTGTCACTTTGGTGAAATGGGCTTGACATTCATTTATAATCGGTCCTGGTACAGCAAGAAAGACGCCATTCTGCACCGAGAGCTACGGCGCTTTGAGTTGGATCTGTCCTGGGTGTAGTGATGAGATCACAGAAGAATCTTGGCGCAAGATGCCGAGCCGGGCACCGTCTACATGAGTCGGCCATGCACCACACACTTTGCAGTCTGACTGTTGTAATCGATGGTGATTCAGTCGTTACTGCAGAGTGGATGTTGGACTCAATGTTTACGTTTAAAGGCTGTTTTAGCTTTACAAATATCTTTTCTTTATCCAAGAGCAATATCGTGAAGTTTTTCATGGGTCACAATAACACTGAGGTAAACTTATTGATCATATAATCGACTTTAATGCATTTTACACATCTTTGGAGTTAAATTGGAAATGAAATTCTCGTTTCGTCAAAATAAAGTATACACCAATATTTAAACAAATTGTCAAAATGTAAACATCATTAGAAATGATTATAAACGAACCAAAAATAATGTTGTGTCAGGGGCATTTAACGCAGGCAGAAATATTTAAAATGAGGTAAAGGTAGGCCTTTATATTATCATCAACCGGGGTCTTAACACTATATAAAAGTGACAATATATACCATTATGCATTGATGTTAACCTTTAGCGTTACAAGCCGCTGACTGTAGCAGTCAACGTGAATATTCACTGCATTTTTTATTACTGCGAGATTCTCAGCAACGGGTGATTGTTGACGTCACAATCACGTGGTCAATATGAGCAGACGACGCGGGCCCCGCCCCCTGACTGTCAGCGAGGACGTTTATTTCCGCTATTCTGTAGTAGAAGTAAGAGAGAGTAGCGGCGATGGCGGACACACCGACAGCCTCACCATGCAATAACATTCAACGCGGAAGGCCCCATGTCCGCGGGATAGATATCATGAGAGACCCAAACCTTAACAAGGCAAGTACGGACAAAACTTTCCTTTGCAGATAAGATATAATCATACCGCGTTATAACGGTTACAGGCCTGTCACCTCGGAAGATTATCGTTCGATTGTTTAGTGTAGATTGTACTACATGTATCTGTATGGTGATATGTGAGATATTGCTTATAGAACTTCTCTATCATGCAGAACGCTCACATCACACACTTAAACCTACTGTTCGCATGTTGCTGTAAAACTGATTCTAAGCTACACGGAATTTATTGTAAAGAACATAATACGGAATCATTTAAGACGGGAGAAACCATAATTACATTTACGTCGGTGCATTACATTTTCGGTGAAGTTCTGTCAAGTCAAGATTCATGTTTTTGATGCATCGTTTACAAAAGCCTACGATAAAATGACGTGCTCACATTTACGGATTAACTATCATGTATATGTTCTTGGTATGGGAAGTAGCAAAGTTTTCTCGCTCTGTTGGGAGTTAAGAATTCTGGTAAAAACCAGTACAAATCGAGATAGAGGTTGGTCTAATGGCCTGTTTTAACGTCTACATATGTGTGGGTTTTACAGGGTAATCTCAAGAACACTCAATACCTACGCTTCGTCATTGTGACTTTGATTTCTACCCGTCCAGCATAAATATGTTACGATGACACAGATACGATGACACAGCGCTTTCCAACGCCGGGACGACAAACACATTGTATACATACACTAACACAAGGCCGCCGTGGGTTGGCGCTTCAACAGACAGGCCACATACAATGAAGCTAGGTGTGTGTAATGGTTTAATATCGAAATACAAAGACTCTATCATTTAGTACGTACGCCAGCACGCGCCAGCGTGTGCGCGCAGAGACTAAACACGCACACACAGATGCTCTCTACTTTGCAACTACCTATCGCTATGAAATATTCATGACATTTCTCTGTTTTAGACTTTCTGTCAATGTTTGTTGTTGACTGTATCTGGACTGTTATAAACGTTTACTTAGTTTATATCGGAAGGCAGTACACAATGTCCGACCGTCTCTGTGTGTTTACCTGGGATGTTGACGTCAGTGTACATACGATATGTTCTCCTCTACCTAGCTAAATATAACCCAGGCCAGTACACGGGTAGGGACAATAACTGCTCAACTATGACATGAATAGGAATTGACACACTGAGCGTATGAGAGCGGAGAGTATCTGACCGCTCGAGGTCCCTCTAGCCACTACACTATGCCCATATAATGTTGTAAAGCTCTATCATGTCTATCACCTAGTCACTTCAGTATTGCTCGGGATGTTCACTTCATGTACGTCATCGTCCAGTACATTCCAATATTTCTCGGGATGTTCACTTCATGTACGTCATCGTCCAGTACATTCCAATATTTCCCGGGATGTTCACTTCATGTACGTCATCGTCCAGTTTATTCCAATATTTCCCGGGATGTTCACTTCATGTACGTTATCGTCCAGTACATTCCAATATTTCCCGGGTTGTTCACTTCATGTATGTCATCGTCCAGTACATTCCAATATTTCCCGGGATGTTCACTTCATGTACGTCATCGTCAAGTATATGCATTCCAATATTTCCCGGGATGTTCACTTCATGTACGTTATCGTCCAGTACATTACAATATTTCCCGGGAGGTTCACTTCATGTACGTCATCGTCAAGTATATTCCAATCTTTCTTGGGTGGTTCACTTCATGTACCTTATCGTCCAGTACATTCCAATATTTTTAGGGGTGTTCACTTCATGAACGTCATCGTTAAGTGCATTACAATATTTCCCGGGGTGTTCACTTCATGTACGTCATCGTCAAGTACATTCTAATATTTCCCGGGATGCTCACTTCATGTACGTTATCGTCCAGTACATTCCAATATTTCCCAGGATGTTCACTTCATGTATGTCATCATCCAGTACATTCCAATATTTCCCAGGATGTTCACTTCATGTACGTCATCGTCCAGTATATTCCAATATTTCTTGGGATGCACTTCATGTATGTCATCGTCCAGTACATTCCAATATTTCCCGGGATGTTCACTTCATGTACGTAATCGTCCAGTACCTTCCAGTATTTCCCGGGATGTTCACTTCATGTACGTCATCGTTAAGTACATTCCATTATTTCTAGGGGTGTTCACTTCATGTACGCCATCGTTCAACACATTCCAATATTTCTGGTTACTGTTGGGGCGTCTTGTTGAACTAGCCTCTAAAACCTCAAGTCTACACAATCGGTTATTGGTGGGGTGTCTTGTTTAACTATCCTATAAAACCTCATGCCTCTTTGAAAGGTCACTGATGAGGTGTCTTGTCCATCTTGAAATTGTAGTCGATAATTGAAGAAATGTCACACGTAAACTAATTGCACGTTCTTTATTGCATTGCATGATGGCGTAACATTGGCTACAGAATGTAACAGCTGATATAATTATTTCTATCGATTTACGTGAATCCGAAATTGAGAATTTACTTAAATGCCAGTGATGTAATCAGATTGTTTCGAGATATTGTGACGGGGGATTCAGGGGATTCCAATTAGTGTCAACCCAACCGATGCTGCAGCCATGATTACTCTGTACCCAATATCAGCATGGCATTCCCTTACCTTATATGGGAAACTGTTGCATGTAGTTTTACAACACTGTTATAGACAATGAATTTAACAGTTATTTATATTCATTATAATAAATTATCCATAAAGAATCGTACCTTTTCTGGTTGATAATGTTGAGGTTCTGACCCGTATACTACAGAAAACAACTGTCCTTACTGTTCCCTGAAATTTAGCAAACGCTGGACTCCATCTTACTCTCTGTTTACGTCCCAGCTTTAGCTGCTGCTGAATCCCCATCACTCAAATATCGTAAGGCGGAGTAAACGATCAGCGGCTTCATCACATTGAAGCGAGATAACTCTTCCAAACTGTGATATATTAAGCTGCCTAACACTGGTATTCCACAGGGACTTTAACTCATTGCCATGTCTATTGCATATATAACTGCAAATGCCAACGACATGCTGATAATCATACTTTGAAAATGATACAGATACTTTGATATGGACGAAGTGCATTGTATACCACGAGCCTCTTGCTTTGAGTGTATACTATCAGTCACTTGTTTTCCAGTCTTATAACATTAAGCGTAACATTACACTCACGTGGGTAACCCGTGCAGGTGTTGATGAATATTTTTCTATATCCAGGATTTTCATTTCATTAGGCTAATGACACTTCCGGTCACTCAGTAACGCCAGAAATAACGCAACTCTTAAATGCCACGAAGTATATACAATATTACTGTTTTCGTGATTACTGGTTAGAACTACCGAAAGGGGTGTTATAAATGATATATAATCCTCATACGTAATATTTTTCTAAAAGTTATGTGGTATCAGCATTGCCAAGAGGAATGGAGAGTTGGATTTTTTATTTAAATTTGGAATTGAGACGGACAGTGTACTTATAAAAAACAGTATTCCTATGCAATTAACAATCTGAAAGATTTCCTCAATCCAATCTCACGTTTCTGAAGCAATACCGAGTATTAAGAGTTCTCTCTCATTGTAGGGGTTGGCGTTTAACCTTCGGGAGCGCCAGGTACTAGGTCTCCATGGACTGCTACCCCCGGCCCTGCTGGACCAGGACTCCCAGGTCTTTCAGGTTATGCAGAACTTCTACAGGTGGAATGACGACCTCGATAGGTACATCTACGTCATGGCGCTCCAGGACAGGAACGAGAAGCTCTTCTACAAGGTTGTCACTCAGTATGTCGAACTAATGATGCCTGTCATCTACACACCAACTGTCGGCCTCGCCTGTCAGAAATACGGCATGATTTTCAGGAAACCGAGGTATGTCGCCTTTTGAACATATTTCATTATCTTTTGTGATTGCACAAATGAACACTACATGCATGAACTGTCGCTCTTGCCTGTCAGATCAGTGTGAAGTAAACATCTGAGAACAAGGTCTGTCATATACACACACTCACTCAAACTGTCTGCCCAGTCTGTCTGACATGATCAGGTCGCCAGGCACCCAGGTCTTTCATATACACACTCAAACTGTCTGCCCAGTCTGTCTGACATGATCAGGTCGCCAGGCACCCAGGTCTTTCATATACACACTCAAACTGTCTGCCCAGTCTGTCTGACACGATCAGGTCGCCAGGCAACAAGGTCTGTCATATACACACTCAAACTGTCTGCCCAGTCTGTCTGACATGATCAGGTCGCCAGGCAACCAGGTCTGGTATATACACACACTCACTCAAACTGTCTGCCCAGTCTGTCTGACATGATCAGGTCGCCAGGCAACCAGGTCTGTCATATACACACACTCACTCAAACTGTCTGCCCAGTCCAGGTCGCCAGGCAGTCTGTCTGACACGATCAGGTCGCCAGGCACCCAGGTCTTTCATATACACACACTCAAACTGTCTGCCCAGTCTGTCTGACATGATCAGGTCGCCAGGCAACAAGGTCTGTCATATACACACTCAAACTGTCTGCCCAGTCTGTCTGACATGATCAGGTCGCCAGGCAACAAGGTCTGTCATATACACACTCAAACTGTCTGCCCAGTCTGTCTGACATGATCAGGTCGCCAGGCAACCAGGTCTGTCATATACACACTCAAACTGTCTGCCCAGTCTGTCTGACATGATCAGGTCGCCAGGCAGCCAGGTCTGGTATATACACACACTCACTCAAACTGTCTGCCCAGTCTGTCTGACATGATCAGGTCGCCAGGCAACCAGGTCTGGTATATACACACACTCACTCAAACTGTCTGCCCAGTCTGTCTGACACGATCAGGTCGCCAGGCACCCAGGTCTTTCATATACACACTCAAACTGTCTGCCCAGTCTGTCTGACATGATCAGGTCGCCAGGCAACCAGGTCTGGACATGATATACACACACTCAAACTCAAATGATCTGTCGCCCAGTCTGTCTGACATGATCAGGTCGCCAGGCAACCAAGTCTGTCATATACACACTCAAACTGTCTGCCCAGTCTGTCTGACATGATCAGGTCTGCCAGGCATCCAGGTCTGGTATATACACACACTCTGGTATATACACACACTCACTCAAACTGTCTGCCCAGTCTGTCTGACATGATCAGGTCGCCAGGCAACCAGGTCTGTATATACACACACTCACTCAAACTGTCTGCCCAGTCTGTCTGACATGATCAGGTCGCCAGGCAACCAGGTCTGGTATATACACACACTCACTCAAACTGTCTGCCCAGTCTGTCTGACATGGTCTGTCATCACAGGGCTACCAATGAAAATCAACAGAGGGCAATCAGCTATGGACTACATGCGCACTTGAATAGACACACTCAATATATTCGATGAAACCAAACAGTACGCGACACAGACCGCAACCAAACGCGTTGAGGTCTCCATTACAAATGCGAGCGCATTCGTTTTTTATTTCGGAGTTTAATCATTACGATGCAGACTTTATGGAGATTGTGTCTTGGTTGGTATTCGGGTCCCTGTATCTATTAAATTCCTGTTCAGTTGCTCTGTGTCGGTATTCTCAACTGAACCTAACATGCACATAACCACTCACATCAACGTTTCACAAGTGTTTTTATTCGGAACAAGCTGCTGCTCGCTTGTCAGAAATCCATGTGTGATGGTGTCACAGGCAGTATTAACACTTTATCATGGATCACCTTGAGCTAGCAGACAATGTTGTCCAACAGTTAGACATATTGAACCTCATATCGTCAAGGTAACGGGTGTAAAGCAACTATAATGTATAGTATGACCAGAAATTATTGAGAATTTTAGGAATATGTTTAATTGGATTTCTAGTATAAACAACCTTGACCAGCTATCAAGTGCTTGGTTTCTTTCAAGAGAGACAACTCTGTTAATCCTTTTTCATTAGTTTGTGAAGAGTTATCCCCCTTTGTTTACTTGCTAGCAGACGACATTTTCAGTGATCCTCAGTATGGATGATTTAGAGAAGAGGAAGTTGATTTTAGAGTATTATAACAAGGACATCAGATCAGCTAAACTGATTTCAAGTAGAACAGGCATCCCTTTGTCCACTGTTTAACGTGTTTTGAAAAATATTGCAAATGGATATGGCATTGAGCACCAGGGAGGCGCAGGTAGGCCCAGAAAATTGACCGTCGGTGACAGGAGGCGGCTTGGTATTCTTGTTTCTAAAAACAAATGAAGGAGTTTAGAAAACTTAAGGCTGGATATGATTGATAGAGGAACTGTGGCTGTCTGTAAGGAGACAATTAGAACTGAGCTGCATGCAATGGGTTGGCAGAAAAGTCGAGGAATTCCATCATCGATCATGAAACCTGAACAAAAGGAGCGAAGGTTGAACTGGTGCTTAGAGCATAGAAATTTTAACTGGGACAGTGTGATTTTCTCAGATGAAAGTTCTGCGTGGCTGTTTCCTAATACACTGAAATTCTGGACCAAACAAACTGAAAAACCTTAATTTGTATCAGCGCCCAAAGTACAGTCCGAAATTTATCGTGTGGGGTGGCATATCTGTGTTAGGGGCAACGCCCCTCTGTGTATTTGAAGGGAATATGAACAGTGAGCGGTACACAGATATTCTCGAGGGACATTTACTTCCATCTGCTCACGTGTTCATTATGGAATGTTTGGATTTTCCAGCAGGACAACGACCAAAAACATCGTTCAAAGCATTCACAGGCCTGGTTTCGGACCCAAAATATTACATTATTAGATTGGCCAAGCTATAGCCCTGACCTAAATCCAATAGAAAATGTTTGGGGACTTATGAAGGAAAGTGTCAATAAGAAAAATCTGACAAATATTGCTGAAATGAAAGAAGAGGTGGTCCGATATTGGGACAGCATGGACCACGACTTTCTAACTTCTTTGATCAGTAGTATGCTCCGCCGCATTGAAGCCTGCATTGCTGCCCATGGTGACTTGACAAAATGCTAACTGTTCACCTGCCTTTGAATCTGGAGTTATGTTCTGCTAATATTCACATTTAATACTTGAGTAATGAGTGAAAGAAAATTAAAAAATTACAATCTTAAATTCTCAATAATTTCTGGTTGTACTGAATATAGTGTATGAATTTCAGTGTCGCAGATCGAATCACACTGGACATAGGCAGGCATTAAAATGTCAGTGATGAACGCATTACGTCACTTGTCCCTACAACACAGTCACCGGAGTTCATTACTCGAAGGTCCGGTCATATTGGCAGCAGCAGGAACTGTTTACACATGTATTTATTAGCAGTGTAACCAGACCTTTGGTTCAGTATTTTCGCGCTCGAGTCGTTAATGTCGCAAGCCTAGGATATGCCCCTTGATCTTACAGCCAATCGATATGGTACGGTTACGAGTACCATTAATGAATTGAGACAGATCAGGAACTGATTGTAAGTCCTTGCAGGTTTTCCTGTTTTGATAACCACTCGCGAAAATAACCTGGATCATGTTTGCCACAGGGAGCTGCCCTGTTGTTAATCTTATCAGACCACCGCTTTCGTATGACAATAGAGAATAATAATTTATTAGATGTTTGACAGACTGCATAATGGAATACCGTATAATGCAATATTATCTAGCTCGACATGTACTCCATGTGCATGTACATAATGTTTGTCGTCATCTGGCATTTCACCACCTCCGTTTTATAGTTGGTCTGGAGAGTAATAGGTCGGTTGTTCGATCCCTGATCATACCAGAAAAGATGCTACTTTTGGTTTTTTACACAACCTTGGTCCCAGCATTGAGCAGACGACACGAGGACTGTTTGGTCAGGATCGGGGGAGGCAGGTGTACCATGGCGACACTGACTGACTATCTCTGTATAGTGTACATGTAGGTGGTGTGGTCTCCTATAGGCCAACATATGAATATAGAGGGGCTACAGCCATGCACACATAATCATGAAGGATCGTTTATAGTGTACATGTAGGTGGTGTGGTCTCCTGTATGCCAACATGTGAATATAGAGGGGCTACAGCCATGCACACATAATCACGAAGGACCGTTTATAGTGTACATGTAGGTGGTGTGGTCTCCTGTAGGCCAGCACATGAATATAGAGGGGCTACAGCCATGCACACATAATCATGAAGGACCGTTTATAGTGTACATGTAGGTGGTGTGGTCTCCTGTAGGCCAACATGTGAAAATAGAGGGGCTACAGCCATGCACACATAATCATGAAGGATCGTTTATAGTGTACATGTAGGTGGTGTGGTCTCCTGTAGGCCAGCACATGAATATAGAGGGGCTACAGCCATGCACACATAATCATGAAGGATCGTTTATAGTGTACATGTAGGTGGTGTGGTCTCCTGTAGGCCAACATGTGAATATAGAGGGGCTACAGCCATGCACACATAATCATGAAGGACCGTTTATAGTGTACATGTAGGTGGTGTGGTCTCCTGTAGGCCAACATGTGAAAATAGAGGGGCTACAGCCATGCACACATAATCATGAAGGATCGTTTATAGTGTACATGTAGGTGGTGTGGTCTCCTGTAGGCCAGCACATGAATATAGAGGGGCTACAGCCATGCACACATAATCATGAAGGACCGTTTATAGTGTACATGTAGGTGGTGTGGTCTCCTGTAGGCCAACATGTGAATATAGAGGGGCTACAGCCATGCACACATAATCATGAAGGATCGTTTATAGTGTACATGTAGGTGGTGTGGTCTCCTGTAGGCCAACATGTGAATATAGAGGGGCTACAGCCATGCACACATAATCATGAAGGATCGTTTATAGTGTACATGTAGGTGGTGTGGTCTCCTGTAGGCCAACATGTGAATATAGAGGGGCTACAGCCATGCACACATAATCATGAAGGACCGTTTATAGTGTACATGTAGGTGGTGTGGTCTCCTGTAGGCCAACATGTGAATATAGAGGGGCTACAGCCATGCACACATAATCATGAAGGATCGTTTATAGTGTACATGTAGGTGGTGTGGTCTCCTGTAGGCCAACACATGAATATAGAGGGGCTACAGCCATGCACACATAATCATGAAGGACCGTTTATAGTGTACATGTAGGTGGTGTGGTCTCCTGTAGGCCAACATGTGAATATAGAGGGGCTACAGCCATGCACACATAATCATGAAGGACCGTCTATAGTGTACATGTAGGTGGTGTGGTCTCCTGTAGGCCAACATGTGAATATAGAGGGGCTACAGCCATGCACACATAATCATGAAGGACCGTTTATAGTGTACATGTAGGTGGTGTGGTCTCCTGTAGGCCAACATGTGAATATAGAGGGGCTACAGCCATGCACACATAATCATGAAGGATCGTTTATAGTGTACATGTAGGTGGTGTGGTCTCCTGTAGGCCAACATGTGAATATAGAGGGGCTACAGCCATGCAAACATAATCATGAAGGACCGTTTATAGTGTACATGTAGGTGGTGTGGTCTCCTGTAGGCCAACATGTGAATATAGAGGGGCTACAGCCATACACATAATCATGAAGGACCGTTTATAGTGTACATGTAGGTGGTGTGGTCTCCTGTAGGCCAGCACATGAATATAGAGGGGCTACAGCCATACAAACATAATCATGAAGGACCGTCTATAGTGTACATGTAGGTGGTGTGGTCTCCTGTAGGCCAGCACATGGATATAGAGGGGCTACAACCATGCACACATAATCATGAAGGACCGTTTATAGTGTACATGTAGGTGGTGTGGTCTCCTGTAGGCCAACATGTGAATATAGAGGGGCTACAGCCATGCACACATAATCATGAAGGACGGTTTATAGTGTACATGTAGGTGGTGTGGTCTCCTGTAGGCCAGACATGTGAATATAGAGGGGCTACAGCCATGCACACATAGTCATGAAAACAAGACAAATTGAACTTGTGAATTTCACCGCTACAATGCAGAACCAAGAAATGTAAAGAGACACACGTGGTATTTGAGGTCAATACTACAAGCAGCTGTTGTGGTCTGCATACAAGTGGGGTGATTGATGGACGAAATCAATAAGCAGCATTTTAACGGAAAGACCTTTAATAAAGACTCACAGTGCTATATTCAAGGCCAATGAGGCTGTCAACAGTGGAATTGTGATTGAAAAAGAAAGACGAGATTTGACAAGCAGATCCCCTGACAAACGTCCTTGCGTCAGGGCTGTTCAGTGGTGTACTGATGGGCTTCCTACTACATGATGCTTCTGCTGCACCAGGATATTGCAACAGGACAGCAGGAAGCAGGTGGTTCCGGTGATGGTCCAGTGTGACCGGCAAGCCAGTCCTTCCTTGTTGCCTGACAGGCTGCTAGGCCGGCTAGCCACATGACGTACCCGACCCCACCACGACATTGCTTGTTACGCACTTTAGTCAGGCCGGGAACAGAACGTGCCTACACTGCAAACACTGTCTTTACCGAGAGATCGATAATTGCACCAAATTAGCACTCTAAATATGAAACGACTATCACGAGTGATTGATGAATGTAATTGGGTGGACAGCACTGTGAATGTGCATGGTCTTCGCCTGGGTGGTGAATACCGCTGGCGGTCATTAGACTTCACCTTCAGGACAAGTCTGTTGAGACTTCAATGTATCTACACAAATCATCACAGCGCGGCCACCAAACACTATCTCTTTCTTATGCCCCACTTACATATGCATGGTGATACCGATGTTTCACTTTCCTTGGGGTCGTGCAGGGTAATGCTAACTTACATATAAACCATGTACAACCTGGGAGTATCCATGAAACAAAACCCTTGTTTCCATGACTGGTGCATGCTTTGGTAGATGCTTAAAGGAATCGTCTGTTCCCACAGGGGTTTGTTCATCACTATCCACGACCGCGGGCACGTCAGCGACATACTGTACAACTGGCCCGTGGAGGACGTGAAGGTATGTATTTAACTGTGCTGACAGCTTAGAAAACGTATCACTGGCACAACAACTTTCTGTCGATATGATATCACTGACAAAACTGTATTGTCTAAACATTACATGATATATCAATCAATGCATCTACATCAATTTTTACTATTTGACCTCCGTGGTGTAGTGGATATAACGTCTGCCTTTCACTCACACACAAGCACGCACCCTTGCGGGAACTCTCACACACAGCTAGTTCCCTATGCATTTGAAGTCATTGAAGCGCTAATAAAATACTCTTTTCTTCGAAATCCAGGCAATTGTCGTCACTGACGGAGAAAGAATTCTAGGCCTTGGTGACCTGGGGGCGTATGGAATGGGCATACCCGTGGGTAAACTGTCACTGTACACTGCTTTGGCAGGGGTCAAACCGCACCAGTGCCTCCCCATCATGCTGGACGTCGGAACCGATAACCAGGTATGTCGGCTTAAGTCTCAGTTGATGTGAGTATGTTGTAGGCCACTTTTGTTGCAATAGGAAAGGGCTTCGCACATTCGGTATAAGCCACATCGGGAATACATTGTTCGTCACTACGAGCCCAACTGCAGAATAGTGTAGATTTATTTAACGCTAGACACAAGTTGGCCACTTCGCGCAGCAACTTTGCAGACGTAGAAATAACACGGAAAAGGACTTTTTTAGGAATCATCTGCTCCTCCATGGCCCGCTCTGGGGAACTGTATTCAAGCTATACAACACGTTCCTCTAGGAACTCTTAGACAAGTATCACATGAATTAACTAAGACAATTGAAATGTGATTCACTCCAGAAATCAGCTCGAGCAAAGCAAATAGAAGCAAATCTGAGTGAAGGTCAGAAAAAACATCTAGAAATTCAGAGGCAACTGTATACATCTAACAAAACAAGCAAATTTTGTCACTGTTGTTATTTACAGATTCTTGTTCACTTTGATAAGTAAAAACGCTGAAAAAATCTCTTCCGTCAAGCAGAGACGTTCAATATGTTGCTCTGTCATTAGTCAACGTCTTCACACCTGAATAGAATTAAGACAGAAGCAACTTAAGCATACAGCGAACTGTTATATCTCTCAAGACACTGCAAGGAGAACAACTTACTACACCTGAAACATTCACAAAGGTCGTGTCATTGCTCAGAAAAATTAAAATATTTCCTTTTTGAGAACATTGACGTACATCTTCCGAATAAAACCAGCCTTGACAACACAAATCATCCGAGTTGTACATAGCTTTAGTTAGGGCCCCGGTAACCTGAAATTTCTACACGCTATTTAAAACATTTTTTCGGACCATTAACGTTTTACTTCAGACTTAAGACTCCACTGCAGGACGGAAACAGGCCATCTTAGGGGTTTTGGAACATCCTCTGTATCTACATTGATGGTCTGTCAGCAGTTGACAAGCACCTGTCAAATTGACTACCGCTGTCTTTATCACTTTGTATACTAAACCTTTTGGGGAGAAACACTGAACAACACAATCTTCCCTACCATGTTAAAGTGGATGATTCTCAGCTGATATCAATCCCAGTCCTTCAGCAGCTAAAACAGTCGTCGTTAGATTCAGTATACTCAAGCTCAGTGCTGATACGACTAAATCCATTAGGGTACTAGGTGCTCCACCAATCAGACTCACCAAAAATGTGACCTCAAATGTTCGCTTCTTGCTTCATCCTCGGTCCTCGGTCCCCGGCCAGTTGCCAGTAGTGATGTTCTGCTGGCCGGAGTCCATTAAGTGCTGACCAATAGATTACAACGTACCCTAAACTCCAGCTACCAAGATGTATTCATGTGCTCTAAACGCAGCTGCTAGCATGCCCAATCCACAGCTGCCATGGTTGCACACTGTGCCCTTAACTCCGATGACCCTAAGCCAGCCTTATATCTTTGATCTCAGGATGATCATTTCCCTGTTGTAATTATGATTATACTTATTGTTGTTATCATTATATTACAGAATCTGCTAACGGATCCTCTCTACATCGGTCTGAAACAGAAGCGCGAACGAGGCCCTGCGTACGATGCTCTGGTGGACGAGTTCATGGAAGCAGTTGTAGAAAGGTACTGAAACATTTCCAGTCAGGTAGCTGTATCAGTTCTCGTGAGAATAAGAGATCTATGCTGGTGTGGCAGCACACCCTGGATGTACTGGTGTCAACACAACAAAGCTGCATATATATAATTATGGGTGTGACAACATAGCCCGGCTGTGTTGAAGTGGAAACTAGCTCCGGCGTATTAGTGTGCCAACTAGCTCCGGCGTGTTAGTGTGCCAACTAGTTCCGGCGTGTTAGTGTGCCAACTAGCTCCGGCTTATTAGTGTGCCAACTAGCTCCGGCGTGTTAGTGTGCCAACTAGCTCCGGCGTGTTAGTGTGCCAACTAGCTCCGACGTATTAGTGTGCCAACTAGCTCCGACGTATTAGTGTGCCAACTAGCTCTGGCGTGTTAGTGTGCCAACTAGCTCCGGCGTATTAGTGTGCCAACTAGCTCCGGCGTATTAGTGTGCCAACTAACTCCGGCGTGTTAGTGTGCCAACTAGTTCCGGCGTGTTAGTGTGCCAACTAGTTCCGGCGTATTAGTGTGCCATCTAGCTCCGGTGTGTTAGTGTGCCAACTAGTTCCGGCGTATTAGTGTGCCAACTAGCTCCGGCGTGTTAGTGTGCCAACTAGTTCCGGCGTATTAGTGTGCCAACTAGTTCCGGCGTGTTAGTGTGCCAACTAGCTCCGGTGTGTTAGTGTGCCAACTAGTTCCGGCGTGTTAGTGTGCCAACTAGCTCCGGCGTGTTAGTGTGCCAACTAGCTCCGGCGTGTTAGTGTGCCAACTAGTTCCGGCGTATTAGTGTGCCAACTAGCTCTGGCGTGTTAGTGTGCCAACTAGCTCCGGCGTATTAGTGTGCCAACTAGCTCCGGCGTATTAGTGTGCCAACTAACTCCGGCGTGTTAGTGTGCCAACTAGCTCCGGCATGTTAGTGTGCCAACTAATTCCGGCGTATTAGTGTGCCAACTAGCTCCGACGTATTAGTGTGCCAACTAGCTCCGGTGTGTTAGTGTGCCAACTAGCTCCGGCGTATTAGTGTGCCAACTAGCTCCGGCGTGTTAGTGTGCCAACTAGCTCCGGCGTGTTAGTGTGCCAACTAGCTCCGGCGTATTAGTGTGCCAACTAGCTCTGGCATGTTAGTGTGCCAACTAGCTCCGGCGTGTTAGTGTGCCAACTAGTTCTGGCGTATTAGTGTGCCAACTAGCTCTGGCGTGTTAGTGTGCCAGCTAGTTCCGGCGTGTTAGTGTGTCAACTAGCTCCGGCATATTAGTGTGCCAACTAGCTCCGACATGTTAGTGTGCCAACTAGCTCAGGCGTGTTAGTGTGCCAACTAGCTCCGACGTATAAGTGTGCCAACTAGCTCCGACGTATTAGTGTGCCAACTAGCTCCGACGTGTTAGTGTGCCAACTAGTTCCGGCGTATTAGTGTGCCAGCTAGTTCCGGCGTATTAGTGTGCCAACTAGTTCTGGCGTGTAAGTGTGCCAACTAGTTCCGGCGTATTAGTGTGCCAACTAGTTCCGGCGTATTACTGTGCCAACTAGTTCCGGCGTATTAGTGTGCCAACTAGCTCCGACGTATTAGTGTGCCAACTAGCTCCGACGTATTAGCGTGCCAACTAGTTCCGGCGTATTAGTGTGCCAACTAGTTCCGGCGTATTAGTGTGCCAACTAGTTCCGACGTATTAGTGTGCCAACTAGCTCCGGCGTTTTAGTGTGCCAACTAGTTCCGGCGTATTAGTGTGCCAACTAGTTCCGGCGTATTAGTGTGCCAACTAGCTCCGGCGTGTTAGTGTGCCAACTAGCTCCGGCGTATTAGTGTGCCAACTAGTTCCGGCGTATGAGTGTGACAATTTGTTCGGCTGCATTGACAGGGGAAACCCTCGGTGAATATTGTAATGTCCTGCGTTATTTAGAATCAGAGTAACGGTCTGGTTAGAGATTCTCGCTCTTACTCAGACCATTTTGGGGGGCTAATTTCAATCTTCCATATATGAAATATGATATCATATGAAGGTAAATGCATACATCAGACATATTTGTATTTAGGTACGGCAAGAACTGCCTCATTCAGTTCGAAGATTTCGGCAATGTCAACGCCTTTCGACTCCTTGAAAAGTACAGAGGGGCCTACTGTTCCTTTAACGACGACATTCAAGGTAACACTGGAAACAGAAGCACAGACCTACACTCCCTCAGATGTAAAACCTGTAGCTCTTCAGTTTAGCTTCTCATATATATTTCCTTCCTTTATGCAGTGGAGGAAGCGCTTGAGATGCAGATAGTTGATAGCGGCGTTAGTATACTTTGTTAAGAGTATTGAGAAAGTAGCACGCATGTTTTTGCCGTGTACAAACATCATTGATAATATACGTACTGCGTAAGTAACAGCGTTTGGATAGACATCGGCACTAAACCACTTTACACTATAATACTACCATATATGTCGGTGGTATACACAGAACATGTAACAATTTACAGCAAGGGAATACATTAATATGGTCAAGAACAAACAATATGGCAACCATGGATTAGACATTTCCGTACCAGTAGGGAACGAGTCATGAAAAGAGTACTTGCAGTATTCTCTCAGATAACCATAGTCATATCAACTGAAAGAAACAGAGTTTAGACATAATGTTTGTATTATTTACTGTGTAACCACACATTGTCCTGTACATGTAGCTACACCGTGAAACAGATTATACATGGTGAACAGATAATGTGCACTGGCATCTCCGTGGGATTCATTGTATCTATACATGCATCTTGTGGATGGAGGATAAGGCTTTGGTACCCAAGTTGAACAATAGGACAATGCAGGGTGGTATCCTACTGTATCACCTCAGTTGACATCTGTGTTCCAGGAACGGCAGCCGTGGCGGTCGCGGGCATCCTGGCGAGTGTCAAGGTCACAGCAAAACCACTAGTTGACCACAAGTTTGTCTTCCAAGGAGCAGGGGAGGTGATAAAACATTAATTATGGTTGAGCACATTTTCACTTAAAATCATAATTATTTTCTTTTTGGGTTCCCTACTCTGAATGACTGTTCTGTATGAACATATGACTAAACTATATACTGTGGTTCACATTTACAGGCATCAATAGGTATCGCCAAGCTGTTGGTAAAGGCGCTACAAAAGCAGGGGCTGTCTCATGATGAGGCTGTGTCCAGGATCTGGATGGTCGACTCCAAGGGACTTATTATAAAGGTTGGCACACTCTTTCCTATCCGCAACTATCATTCTTGTTTAATATGTGCACATCCATAGAAGTTTGGTTGACTAGATTAACTCCATGCACATGTCTGTACTTGTTTGTTGATAGAACCGCCCTAAGGGAGGGGTGACAAGCCACAAGGTCCACTTCGCTCAAGCGCGGGACCCTATCGACACTCTGGAGCAGGTGATAGGCACTGTCAAACCAACATGTATTATAGGTAAGCATACCTCTCCCTGACATCTAAACTATATAGTTTAAAGGAAAGGATCCCGGATGGGCGGGGTTTACATCAAATGTAGTATCACAGTGCTTTGAATTTACCAGGCGCAGCTGCAGTTCCAGGAGCCTTCACAGAGCAGATCATCAAAGCTATGGCGGACTTCAACGATCGCCCAATCATATTCGCCCTCAGTAACCCAACAAGCAAAGCTGAGTGCACGGCAGAACAAGCGTACACATTTACTAATGTACGTATGACCAATAACATTTTCATAAATTTTGTGTCCAGAAACATTTTTGTTAAATTCAAAATTTCTTGATAAACTGTATCTAACTGTATTTAAAACCCAAAGGGAATACATTCAAACTTGTGCAGTTCTGCAGGTCGAGATCACAGGGTAAAGTGCATGGGCAAGATAAAGAGCAATTGCTTTGTAGAAGTAGTTTCCAGTGTCTGTAACAGCACACTGTATTTCTTCATTGATCCAAGTAAGACTACAAATGTCTGGACCAGGGACATGACATATACTTGCAACCTTTGAGCGGTGAGCTGGTATTTAACATACATGTACTTGATAACAGATGGTATTACCACTGCACTGTAGTACCCGTACAGTTAGGGGGTTTCAGCTACCACTGCACTGTAGTACCCGTACAGTTAGGGGGTTTCAGCTACCACTGCACTGTAGTACCCGTACAATTAGGGGGTTTCAGCTACCACTGCACTGTAGTACCCGTACAGTTAGGGGGTTTCAGCTACCACTGCACTGTAGTACCCGTACAGTTAGGGGGTTTCAGCTACCACTGCACTGTAGTACCCGTACAGTTAGGGGGTTTCAGCTACCACTGCACTGTAGTACCCGTACAGTTAGGGGGTTTCAGCTACCACTGCACTGTAGTACCCGTACAGTTAGGGGGTTTCAGCTACCACTGCACTGTAGTACCCGTAAAGTTAGGGGGTTTCAGCTACCACTGCACTGTAGTACCCGTACAGTTAGGGGGTTTCAGCTACCTCTGCACTGTAGTACCCGTACAGTTAGGGGTTTCAGCTACCACTGCACTGTAGTACCCGTACAGTTAGGGGGTTCAGCTACCACTGCACTGTAGTACCCGTACAGTTAGGGGTTTCAGCTACCACTGCACTGTAGTACCCGTACAGTTAGGGGGTTTCAGCTACCACTGCACTGTAGTACCCGTACAGTTAGGGGGTTTCAGCTACCACTGCACTGTAGTACCCGTTCAGTTAGGGGGCTTCAGCTACCTCTGCACTGTAGTACCCGTACAGTTAGGGGGTTTCAGCTACCACTGCACTGTAATACCCGTAAAGTTAGGGGGTTTCAGCTACCACTGCACTGTAGTACCCGTACAGTTAGGGGGTTTCAGCTACCTCTGCACTGTAGTACCCGTACAGTTAGGGGGTTCAGCTACCACTGCACTGTTGTACCCGTACAGTTAGGGGGTTTCAGCTACCTCTGCACTGTAGTACCCGTACAGTTAGGGGGTTTCAGCTACCTCTGCACTGTAGTACCCGTACAGTTAGGGGGTTTCAGCTACCAAACGTTCTTCTGGATCACTCAAATATTAAAGGTCACGTGCAAAGTAAAACACAACTTTGCAGATTCTGATACCTTTCGGTATGGACTTACCGAAACAAATCATCAAAAATGCAAATTCAACTTATAAAGTTGAAAACTAACGCGATGTGGTTTCAACAGCTGCTCTGGGCTGCGCTCATAGCACATGATTTTTTGGTTGCATGTGACCTTTAAGTAGGAAAATGTAAATTGTCAATATGTTATCCCAGTCAGATTAGTAAGTAAAGTCTGATAGCTATCTAGAAGCAGATAAACCATATTCTACTTGATAGCACTGTATGTTTCCACTCAACTGCTGCCCGTTACACATGTAACAGGGTCAGGATTATTAGCAACCCTGTAGTAGTGCTCCACCCGTGCCTGTGGTATGTGTGTATGTCATGTCACACTCATATACACTGATTCCACGTGACAGGGCCGAGCAGTGTTTGCGAGTGGGAGCCCATTCAGGGCGGTGACTGTTGGCGGCCAGACCTTCCAGCCAGGGCAGGGCAACAACGCCTACATCTTCCCCGGAGTGGGGCTAGCAGCCATCGTGTGTGACATCAGGAACATCACCGAGGAAATCTTCCTGCACGCAGCCGAGGTGAGTCACATCCACCCGTTACACAAACTCGTGTGATGCAGCAGAACAACAGTAGATACACACGACTGTTACTACTCACACTGGTATTACACACGACTGCTACTACACTCATAATGGTGGGGTAACCTAGTGGTTAAAGCGTTCGCTCGTCACGCGGAAGACCCGGGTTTGATTCCCCACATGGGTACAATTTGTGAAGCCCATTTCTGGTGTCCTCCGCCGTAATATTGCTGGATTATTGGTAAAAGCGGCGTAAAACCAAACTCATCCACTCACTCACAATGGTATTATTGGCTGGTAATGCTACACTTGCACTGATGTCGCCAAGATTGCTACACTGAAAATGCTTAATACTCTACTTATTGTCCAGAAAACAATGATTAGTACAGTGTTTTGTCGACACTCATAGCTTTATAAACTTACAGCGGCTGTGTGAGCTAGTCACCAAGGAGCACCTGTCGGAGGGCCGCGTGTACCCCCCTCTCTCCACCATCAGGGAGGTATCCACCAGCATCGCAGTTGCCGTCAGTGAGTTTGCGTACAAGGCTGGTCTCGCCTTACTCCAGCCAGAGCCCAAGGACAAGAGGGCAGCCATCACACAGAGTCAGTACTGCACAGAATATGCCGACTTCGAGCCCCCAGTATGGGACTGGCCAACTGCCCAGTCCTAGTTGAACTACAGAACATCACTGTATGGATGTAGACAATTGTATATAATATTCAAATACCGAGACGTCATGTATACAACGTGTATAGGTGGTCCAAAACGTGTTCATAACATGACCCTATTTACGCAGACATGGCCCTTGTATATAGTTTCAAAACTAATATTTTTAATGTAACTTTTACATGCAGCTAAATACGAATAGATGTTTACTTGGGTATGTTTATGGTGAATCATTTGGTGAAACCAAGTCAGTGTTAATCGCATTGTCTCTCAATCGCACCAGTCCTCAAATCCCTTGAATGTGTTAATTCTTGTCATTCAATGAGCATGCATATGTTTTACCTGTTACAGTTTGTTATGTTTAAGTGGCTGTTATGGGGGTGGAGTGGGGGGTGGTAGGAAGGAATGGGAAAGGAGTGATGCTTACTATCTTAGGGGTGTGGAATGTAAAGCGGAGTGGAGATCGTGTCAGAGCGTGTGAGTGTTCAGTTTGAGAGTGGGGAATGTTTTAGAATGTGTGGGTGCGTGCGTGTGTTAACCTTTTAATCGGCGAATGGTTGAACTGGAGTGTGTTTCTGTTTAATGTAGTGTGGAGACAGGTGTATGGCAACAAAATCTAGAATTTATTTGTATCTACATGGTGTGATTTCAATGTGAACAGTCTTGATGCTCATTCTGCGCAATAAATGTTTATAGTCATACTGTTTGTCCCTGCCTACACACGACACACCTAACGTGGCCGCTCCACTCGTTGATCTATCTGTTTGTCCCTGCCTACACACGTCACAGCTAACGTGGCCGCTCCACTCGTTGATCATACTGTTTGTCCCTGCCTACACACGACACAGCTAACGTGGCCGCTCCACTCGTTGATCATACTGTTTGTCCCTGCCAACACACGACACAGCTAACGTGGTCGCTCCACTCGTTGATCATACTGTTTGTCCCTGCCTACACACGTCACAGCTAACGTGGTCGCTCCACTCGTTGATCATACTGTTTGTCCCTGCCTACACACGACACAGCTAACGTGGCCGCTCCACTCGTTGATCATACTGTTTGTCCCTGCCTACACACGACACAGCTAACGTGGCCGCTCCACTCGTTGATCATACTGTTTGTCCCTGCCTACACACGACACAGCTAACGTGGTCGCTCCGCTCGTTGATCATACTATTTGTCCCTGCCTACACACGACACACCTAACGTGGTCGCTCCACTCGTTGATCATACTGTTTGTCCCTGCCTACACACGACACAGTTAACGTGGCCGCTCCACTCGTTGATCATACTGTTTGTCCCTGCCTACACACGACACAGCTAACGTGGTCGCTCCACTCGTTGATCAAGTAGCATGTCCGAAATCTGGGAAACCCGGTTACATGAAGGGCTGCCGCCAGGTGGCAAGCTCCCACATTACTCACACACGGCAACAGGAAACGTTCAGTGTGTTCAATACTTCCTAACCGCCTGGACATGAGTCGTACATGAAAACCTTTAGTGAAAGGTGAAATATCCGACCACTCAAGTGAGCCAATGTAAAGATATGCTAGGTCTTCGTCATTGTCGTCTTCTGTGAAATCTTAAAACCAGGCGGCCAATGACAACGAAATGTGGCCTACATTATTGTATAACTTCTTTATCATTTTAGTGAATGGCCGGAATTTGACATCTTGGTATTGTACGAATTAGTGTACTTTACTGTTTTGCGATATTAAGTTTTGTTTGACTTGCACATGCCTTAAATGATCTCATAAAATACATCATCTCTGTACGTGCAAGGTCGTTAGTATGTTGTCGTTGCTTCTCTTGTCTGAGAGCGCTGTGCCGATATGAGGCTGACACTCCACATGCTTGCTCCCAGCGGTCATAAAACATATCAATGTGTTTAAAGGGTTCTGGGGCGGTAGGGTAGCATAGTGGTTCATGGAGCCTATTTCTGGAACATTGCTAAACGGCGTAACTCACTAACTCACTGAAAAGGTTCTGATCCGAACCAATAGGCGGCAATATGGCCTTTAGCTGCCATTTCTAAATCATTTTCCTTCAAAACGAAATTTGTTATGTATGTTCCTGGTAGTGGGACGTACTCCTGCATGGAATTGCATTCCGGCGAAACTCCTCATCTCATCAGAAACATCCTCTCATCAGAGACGGGGGTACCATCGAAACTGAAACTTCACATAGTTCCAAATGGTGACCATTTCCGATGTTCTCAAAGTCCGCCACGGTGGCCATATTCAAACCCGACTTACGTCAACAACTCTTCCTTTTGTGTGAATGTATTGAAGCTTCATACATAATACGTTTTGGAGTAAAAGATACATGCTCCGATTTCGTTAAATTGTAACGGTTGACCTTCATTTGACATTCACACACTGTCCATGCTCTTAAACTCATTCACCCGTGAAGGTCCGGGTTAGAATATTGATCTTCAGTAACCCATGCGACTAACGATATCGGGTGGTCAGGCTCCCTGACTTGGTTGACACATGTCATCGGTTCCCAATTGCTCAAATCGTTGCTCATGCTGTTGATCACTGGATTGTCTGGTCAAGACTCGATTATTTACAGACCGCCGCCATATAGCTGGAATATTGCTGAGTGCGGCGTAAAACTAAACTCACTCAATCACTTAAACTCAATCAAATACTGTACTGACTCAATATACAAGTATACTCTGAAACCAGTCAACTTCAAAAAATGTTTTACGTGACAATTATATTCGGATAGTTCGATCATGATTTTGCGTTTCGACACAGCCTTAAAGCTTTCAAATATGTATTACTGGCTCTGTAAACATGTTCTCCTTGAAAACTGCGGGACCGAGGGGTTTAACACGTCCTAGCAGTTGTTCAACCCCCAACCTAAATAGGTCAGGTATATTTAGTTACATAAAGGAATTCCGTCCGTCCGTCGTCAGCCCGAAGACATTTGTGTTCAACCAGTAACTTGGTTGGAAAACCGTTCGTTGAGTTCTGTTCCTGATTTTTCTACTTTTTTAAAGAGTTGCGAAAAATCACAAGACATATTTTCTCAATTAAAAACTTGAGCTCTTGATCACAATGGAATGGACTGTTTTCAAATTGAGGGAATCACACTCTATATCTATAGGAGAGATGCGGTGCATAGTTTAATGTTTTTTAATATATCGACAATTATCACAAATTACATCTCTTGAACTCGGGAAAATGTCCCAAATAAAAATAACTTCAGAATCATTTAATCAATGGTTTTCAGATTTGGGTAAAAGCTTCTTTGTTTATAGGAAAGGCGCAGTGCAAAGTTTGAAACAAACCTTGTATTTTGGTCACGGTCGGAGCATTAGTGAGCTGTGCTCACATTTTTGGGTTTGTTGATGTTTAATCTGTGCTTCATTCAATGTCGGTGTCGCAGACGATACAGCAATAGGACGTTCTTACCTTTTTCTCTAAATTGGCTGTAGTGTCATAAAATACATCATGGGGACATATTGCTCTTTTTCTAAAGAAGTTGAAAACAATGGGTTTTGTTTTGTTGCAGATAATTTAATTGCTCGTGTTATATTTGTCAGTCACCTGTACTGACATAAACTATTAAAAAGTAGATGATCACGAACTATAAAAGCTAAAACAAAGAATTAGAATAAGATCTATTTTGACGACAAACATCCTATACAGTGTCTTATGTCTGTACTAAAACACATCCGATAGGTTTCACGTGTTTTGACACTTTCAAGGAAGGTCGATTACTCTCTGTGAAGCATTCTATTCTTCGCCAATCTTACTGCATCATACAGTTGTGCTTTACCTGATTCTATTCTTCACCAATCTTACTGTATCATACAGTTGTGCTTTAACTGATTCTATTCTTCACCAATCTTACTGTATCATACAGTTGTGCTTTACCTGATTCTATTCTTCGCCAATCTTACTGTATCATACAGTTGTGCATCATACAGCTTTACCTGATTCTATTCTTCGCCAATCTTACTGTATCATACAGTTGTGCTTTAACTGATTCTATTCTTCACCAATCTTACTGTATATCATACAGTTGTGCTTTACCTGATTCTATTCTTCGCCAATCTTACTGCATCATACAGTTGTGCTTTACCTGATTCTATTCTTCGCCAATCTTACTGTATCATACAGTTGTGCTTTACCTGATTCTATTCTTCACCAATCTTACTGTATCATACAGTTGTGCTTTACCTGATTCTATTCTTCACCAATCTTACTGTATCATACAGTTGTGCTTTAACTGATTCTATTCTTCACCAATCTTACTGTATCATACAGTTGTGCTTTACCTGATTCTATTCTTCACCAATCTTACTGTATCATACAGTTGTGCTTTACCTGATTCTATTCGTTGTTTGTGTATAAGCCAGTGATGAGGCGCCTGCAACGCGCACAGGGTCTAAGGCAAACTGGTATGCTGGAAACATGGCCCCATACCTTCAATGTTTCACAGTCCCTGATTAACAGACTATAGAACAGGTACCAACAAACCCAAATATATTGACGATCGTTCTTGTTCAACGACAGTCGTACAGGTACACAGATCCGAAACCAGGCTCAAACTGGGAATCAAATTGCTGTAATTCGTTTGTGCTCATCTCTAGCAGCACAACATCCATAGAACGACATGGCCAGCAATGAGGCAATATCTTTCCCGCACCAAACACGTCTGGGACATGGCTGCGGGACGGGTGCGTCAGCATCATAGACTGGCGACCATGTTTGGTGAATTTGGGCAAGCTCTTCGAGAAGAGTGGCACTACCTCCTCAAATCGCTGATGGGCGAGTCGAACGCAATATGCATTGTCAGGTGTATAGATATTTGACAAATCATTGCGGTAGTATGAACTACTGATCCAAAAACTTTGACGTTTCCAACCTTAGCACGATTGTCCTTCACGGTCATTACGGGTTATAACACCTACTGTCATTCAGTCAAAAATGGTTCCCTTTTCGTTCATTACTATCATACAACTATTACTAAAACTAAAATAGAAATGCTGAGCACACACACAATTGTATATAGGTCATAATTAACAGGGATATTCTGATGTTCTAAATTCACATACCTTGGCCTGTTTTATGTGGAAGTGACGCAGGTGCTTTTGCTTCATTATCTGCATACAGTGCAAACAACCAAACTTGAGCATGGGCAGCACAATTCCCCGTTTGGTCGGCTTGGGTGCCGGCATGTACTGCAACTCTGTGTGGCTGGGAGGGACGGGCATTGTGCTCGGGAGACATCCACTTCTTACACCATCATAGGCAGTATGAACTCCTCTACTATAATCCACACAATGCCATACAGTGTATTATCTGACAAAGAACAGTTACATACAGGTGTGACAACTATACCGTCCAGTACAAGGGTTGGTATGTGACTCGCGGTACAGCCGGGCACACATTGACCGTGGAGCTGGAGATACATTCCTGCACGATGTGGCCAATGGTGACACCGTGCATCCTCAGGATACAACCAATTCACAGGGTATCTGGCCGATTCTCGGTTGCAGATATTGTTGGTTAATCAACACTCTCCCCTTAGGTACCACAACAGATTTGCAATGACCTTTAGGACTGTACACCGACCAAGTCCCATCGTCTCGGTATCTATAACTGGAGCTGTATGGGCAGTTACGACATCTCTCCTTTCATGTGGCTGTATGCTACACAGAGAAAGAACACGATTTGTATTGGCCTAACCACAGGTAATGCATTCGTCTTGGAGTGTGTTGAACATGATATAGGTACCCGTTGGGGTCGGTTAACTTGCAATATCCGAAGTACGGAAAGAAAACTACCAGCCAAGCGAACGGTATTGATTACAGCCGACTGTTGGTGGAAATTGAAGGGAAATGGCTTTGCCGTTATTACTTGGGTTTTAGTTCCCTTTCCAGAGTGACCAGTAAGCGGCGTGACGTTAGTTGGGGAAGATGGAGAGGGAGTCTGTGGGTGGGGCATCGCTGCCTGGTTACAAAGCTACCTGTCATGTTACACTCGCGCCAGATTTGTCTCGTCTCCTGCTAATTACAAAATCAATGAGGACGTCAAAAGACAGACGTTATTATGAGTGTTTGTGCCTTTCAGGTGTGTGGACAGATAGCCGTATTGAGCAGGCGGGACAATTGCCTCTGATTGATAGTGCAGTGTTATCAAGTAGGATTAAACTCTCTCACTAATTTCCCCTTGTCCAACTCGTGATTCTTCAGAAGTCGTAATATTTCATTTCCAACCAGTTGAACCATTGATTCTCTACATGCGTGCTGTATAGATAAATAGAAAAACACGAGCCTCAACACGTTATGTCTTAAAAACATATAACCCTAGTTACATAACAGTCACTATTACAATACAAAAGAAGAATGTTTCGCGACGAAATATTAAAATCAAACCTTTGAAGACATCGCAAAACGGGTAAAGAACATCATAAAATATATGTCCTCAGTCATTAGGCAGTTATCGACAGAACTCGTGTCTCTTGATAGATGACATGTGGCAGATGTGCTGAACAAAATGAAGGGAACGCCATAGATAAAATGTCCGAAAGTATCATCACTTCATCATAGTTTACTCACACTTTTGTACAACCCTGATAAATGTCGCCATTAACTATTGAAACAGAACCACGAAGGTTTAGTGTCTCTTAATTGGTAATAAAGATTTGTTAAATCCGGGTACTGGTCATTATGATCACTTCTTGTAACTCTTTGATCCAGACAATATCTGAATGGATGAACTAAACACTGAGAGTAGGAGGTGGAAATGAAACACGCCTTGTTTAAATAGTATGGGTTTAAAATCCAGGTTCCGTCTTCCCTTCTTGTAAATGCGATGGATCATGACGACGGTGATGTTGCTGCTGCTGATTGAGGCGATGCAGATGGAGCTCTAACGAAGTGCCAAACTACGGACGGGAAAACTGTTTCCGAATCGCACAGTGACCCATGAGTTTCTGCAGCGGTTGTGGGGCGTCTTATCAGCAGTGATGATCTCTATGAAGATGGTGGTGATGGTATATGTAAAACATGTTGAACTCGAGGAGGTATTTTGGTTGCTCCTTTTGTGTATACCCTCTGTTTACAGAAGCATATACTAAAGTATCTGTTGCACGTGGGACGTCGTTTACGCCCCCATCCCTACTGTTGCTACAAGGACAGGGTCTGATGTTTGATTCTGTGACCTCTCATGACGTACACCCTGTCTCCCACCTGCACCCTCCCGCCCATCTCCAGGGCGCAGTAAATCCCGAACACTGGAGCGCTGCCGTAAGGGGAATGCAGCGGTATCTGGAATGACATAGGATTTACAAAAGTATATTCAAAGACATCGTGATAAATAATCTGCCTACAGTTTCTACAGATGAACGATAATCTTAAATTTGAAGGTATGCGTGTGATAAAAAGACTCCGGTTTCTAAAGAATTACCAGAAGTACCAGAAAGTTTTGGCATGTACAAGGGTTTGTTAGCAGTTACGTCCAAACACGAAGTATCATTAGCTAATCTAACTCAAAGTGTTGCCACACTCTAAACAGAACATTCTAAGGAGTTCACCAATGTGATATTAATCGCCCACCACCAGGTGACAGTTCGTACATTCATCCTGAAGTGGTGCATGTGTAGAGGCCGGCCAAGCTCATTGGATCAAACTGACGTCTCTAGGGTTACTTCCTCTTCACTCATAAGGGGACGTCGCACATCGCTCTTGGCATGGAAACACTGACAGTCTCAGTAATGCCATTATAAGATAATATTTTTGTGTTGAGTTTTGGATTTCGTTAGACCAGTAAGACTGGAGTACGTTATACATACGTTTTCAGCTTTGTTAGAGGTTGTCTGTCGGGATCCTTTATCCCTGTCGTGGGGTCAATGGTGGTGATCGGACACCTGGAAATAGTGACATCTGGATGCAGTAAACGTTGGCCTATCGTCATACTGACACTGTCTCCCATCTCACCTTCGACACCCGTTAACCACCCTCATCATGACACTGCCTCCGATCTCACATCGGACACATGTTGGCCTATCGTCATACTGACACTGTCTCCCATCTCACCTTCGACACCCGTCAACCACCCTCATCATGACACTGTCCCTATCTCATCTCGGACACATGTTGGCCTATCTTAAATCTGAAGCTCTCCTCATCCTCGACACCTCACCTTCTCGACACCCGTTAACCACCCCATCATCATGACACTGTCTCCTATCTCATCTCGGACACATGTTGGCCTATCGTCATACTGACACTGTCTCCCATCTCACCTTCGACACCCGTTGACCACCCTTATCATGACACTGTCCCCTATCTCATCTCGGACACATGTTGGCCAATATTAAATCTGACGCTCTCTCCCATCTCACCTTCGACACCCGTTAACCACCCTCATCATGACACTGTCTCCTATCTCATCTCGGACACATGCTGGCCTATCGTCTTACTGACACTGTCTCCTATCTCATCTTCGACACCCATTAACCACCCTCATCATGACACTGCCTCCGATCTCATCTCGGACAAATGTTGGCCTATCTTAAATCTGACGCTCTCTCCCATCTCACCTTCGACACATGTCAATCACCCGCATAATGACACTGTCCCCTATCTCATCTCGGACACATGTTGGCCTATCTTAATACTGACACTCTCTCCCATCTCACCTTCGACACCCGTTAACCACCCTCATCATGACACTGCCTCCTATCTCATCTCGGACACATGTTGGCCTATCGTCAAATTGACACTGTCTCCCATCTCACCTTCGACACTCGTCAACCACCCTCATCATGACACTGCCTCCTATCTCATCTCGGACACATGTTGGCCTATCGTCTTACTGACACTGTCTCCTATCTCATCTTCGACACCCATTAACCACCCTCATCATGACACTGCCTCCGATCTCATCTCGGACATATGTTGGCCTATCTTAAATCTGACGCTCTCTCCCATCTCACCTTCGACACATGTCAACCACCCTCATAATGACACTGTCTCCTATCTCATCTCGGACACATGTTGGCTTATCGTCATACTGACACTGTCTCCCATCTCACCTTCGGCACACGTCAACCACCCTCATCATGACACTGTCTCCTATCTCATCTCGGACACATGTTGGCCTATCGTCAACCACCCTCTGACACTGTCTCCCATCTCACCTTCGACACACGTCAACCACCCTCATCATGACACTGTCTCCTATCTCATCTCGGACACATGTTGGCCTATCGTCATACTGACACTGTCTCCCATCTCACCTTCGACAGCCGTTGACCACCCTCATCATGACACTGCCTCCTATCTCATCTCGGACACATGTTGGCCTATCGTCATACTGACACTGTCTCCCATCTCACCTTCGACACCCGTTGACCACCCTCATCAAGACACTGTCTCCTATCTCATCTCGGACACATGTTGGCCTATCTTAAATATGACGCTCTCTCCCATCTCACCTTCGACACCCGTTAACCAGCCTCATCATGACACTGTCTCCTATCTCATCTCGGACACATGTTGGCTTATCGTCATACTGACACTGTCTCCCATCTCACCTTCGACACCCATTAACCACCCTCATCATGACACTGCCTCCTATCTCATCTCGGACACATGTTGGCCTATCGTCTTACTGACACTATCTCCCATCTCACCTTCGACACCCATTAACCACCCTCATCATGACACTGCCTCCGATCTCATCTCGGACACATGTTGGCCTATCTTAAATCTGACACTCTCTCCCATCTCACCTTCGACACCCGTCAACCACCCTCATCATGACACTGTCTCCTATCTCATCTCGGACACATGTTGGCCTATCGTCATACTGACACTGTCTCCCATCTCACCTTCGACACACGTCAACCACCCTCATCATGACACTGTCTCCTATCTCATCTCGGACACATGTTGGCCTATCGTCATACTGACACTGTCTCCCATCTCACCTTCGACACCCGTCAACCACCCTCATCATGACACTGTCCCCTATCTCACCTCTGACACATGTTGGCCTATCGTCATACTGACACTGTCTCCCATCTCACCTTCGACACACGTCAACCACCCTCATCATGACATTGTCTCCAATCTTGACCTCCAGCCAGTTGTCCTGTAAAAGTGAGAGCGTCACAGGATCAGCGGATGATCATCACGGAAGTTGTATTGCCGGCTCATAGCGTGTTGTCGGTGGTTCATAGGAGAACACGACTGACTGACTGACTGAGTTTAGTTTTACGCCGCTTTTAGCAATATTCCAGCAATATCACGGCGGGGGACACCAGAAATGGGCTTAACACATTGTGCCCATGTGGGGAATCGAACCCGGGTCTTCGGCGTGAAGAGCCAACGCTTTAACCACTAGGCTACCCCATCGCCCCAGGAGAACACGAAACTTCCCTACTTTTACATAGACTTGCGTCACAAACGTAGCATGGATGTTTTAGGTCCATTTTTAGGATAATAAACTTAGTTGTTAAACTGTTCTGACCTCATCAAACGGTGGTGTCCCTTCGATGGCGATGTTGGGTCTAAAGTTGAGCATGGAAATCTGGGAGTCTAGACGCTGGTTCAGGTCATGGAGGGAACTGGCTGACGTCATCAAGTATGACGTCATGTAGCTGAACGCTGTCTGAACATCAGATTGGGTCAAATCATGAAATATAACTAACGACTTCGAATTTCAGAGGGAACGCTAGTATGCAAACATATAAAAACGAACATCTTCAGGAAGTCATTTACGAACATCTGTAGACGAAGTGATTAGTGATGTGAGCATTTCCAACTTTCATATTTTTATCAGTAATGCAAAGATAATTGTGTAGCTGACTTCACGAATCAGACGGAAAGTTGGGTTGTTTACATACGTGTCTGAAATGCATGAAGGTATAACATAGGTTATATTAGGCTGTCTGCCTACAAACACTCTCTCATTCCACTTACATGAATAGTTAGTATTTAGATTATTACACATTACTTATATGTTGTTGAACAGGGACAGACGCATATGCATCATACAAGTTTTACACTTAATTTGCATTTATTCTGGAAACTCGATACTTCTCTGCAGAAACGCCGCAGCTGATCACCCAGTCTAGAGTTAATACCTTTGATTCCACGATATTTCAATAAAACACAATCAGTTTAAAAATATATGGAAGAGTGACATCCTATCCCGGGAATGAGTTTTTACTGTAGAACAGCAAGATCGTATTCCGAGTATGAGTTTTTACTGTATCCCAGTAAGATGCTATCCCGGGAATGAGTTTTTACTGTAGAACAGCAAGATCGTATTCCGAGTATGAGTTTTTACTGTATCCCAGTAAGATGCTATCCCGGGAATGAGTTTTTACTGTAGAACAGCAAGATCGTATTCCGGGTATGAGGTTTTACTGTATCCCAGTAAGATCCTATCCCGGGTATGAGGTTTTACTGTAGAACAGCAAGATCGTATTCCGAGTATGAGGTTTTACTGTATCCCAGTAAGATCCTTTCCCGGGTATGAGGTTTTACTGTATCCCAGTAAGATCTTATTCCGGGTATGAGGTTTTACTGTATCCCAGTAAGATCCTATTCCGGGTATGAGGTTTTACTGTATCCCAGTAAGATCTTATTCCGGGTATGAGGTTTTACTGTATCCCAGTAAGATCCTATTCCGGGTATGAGTTTTTACTGTATCCCAGTAAGATCTTATTCCGGGTATGAGTTTTTACTGTATCCCAGTAAGATCTTATTCCGGGTATGAGGTTTTACTGTATCCTAGTAAGATCCTATCCCGGGTATGAGTTTTTACTGTAGAACAGCAAGATCTTATTCCGGGTATGAGTTTTTACTGTAGAACAGCAAGATCTTATTCCGGGTATGAGTTTGTACTGTAGAACAGCAAGATCTTATTCCGGGCATGAGTTTTTACTGTATCCCAGTAAGATCTTATTCCGGGTATGAGTTTTTACTGTAGAACAGCAAGATCTTATTCCGGGTATGAGTTTTTACTGTATCCCAGTAAGATCTTATTCCGGGTATGAGGTTTTACTGTATCCCAGTAAGATCCTATCCCGGGTATGAGTTTTTACTGTAGAACAGCAAGATCTTATTCCGGGTATGAGTTTTTACTGTAGAACAGCAAGATCTTATTCCGGCTATGAGTTTTTACTGTAGAACAGCAAGATCTTATTCCAGGTATGAGGTTTAACTGTATCCTAGTAAGATCCTATCCCGGGTATGAGTTTTTACTGTATCCCAGTAAGATCCTATCCCGGGTATGAGTTTTTACTGTAGAACAGCAAGATCTTATTCCGGGTATGAGTTTTTACTGTATCCCAGTAAGATCTTATTCCGGGTATGAGGTTTAACTGTATCCCAGTAAGATCCTATCCCGGGTATGAGGTTTTACTGTATCCCAGTAAGATCCTATCCCGGGTATGAGTTTTTACTGTATCCCAGTAAGATCCTATCCCGGGTATGAGTTTTTACTGTAGAACAGCAAGATCTTATTCCGGGTATGTGTTTTTACTGTAGAACAGCAAGATCTTATTCCGGGTATGAGTTTTTACTGTAGAACAGCAAGATCTTATTCCGGGTATGTGTTTTTACTGTAGAACAGCAAGATCTTATTCCGGGTATGTGTTTTTACTGTAGAACAGCAAGATCTTATTCCGGGTATGTGTTTTTACTGTAGAACAGCAAGATCTTATTCCGGGTATGAGTTTTTACTGTAGAACAGCAAGATCTTATTCCGGGTATGTGTTTTTACTGTAGAACAGCAAGATCTTATTCCGGGTATGAGTTTTTACTGTAGAACAGCAAGATCTTATTTCGGGTATGAGTTTTTATTGTATCCCAGTAAGATCCTATCCTGGGTATGAGTTTTTACTGTAGAACAGCAAGATCTTATTCCGGGTATGTGTTTTTACTGTAGAACAGCAAGATCTTATTCCGGGTATGAGTTTTTACTGTAGAACAGCAAGATCTTATTCCGGGTATGTGTTTTTACTGTAGAACAGCAAGATCTTATTCCGGGTATGAGTTTTTACTGTAGAACAGCAAGATCTTATTCCGGGTATGAGTTTTTACTGTATCCCAGTAAGATCTTATTCCGGGTATGAGTTTTTACTGTAGAACAGCAAGATCTTATTCCGGGTATGAGTTTTTACTGTATCCCAGTAAGATCCTATCCCGGGTATGAGTTTTACTGTAGAACAGCAAGATCTTATTCCGGGTATGAGTTTTTACTGTATCCCAGTAAGATCTTATTCCGGGTATGAGTTTTTACTGTATCCCAGTAAGATCTTATTCCGGGTATGAGGTTTTACTGTATCCCAGTAAGATCCTATCCCGGGTATGAGGTTTTACTGTATCCCAGTAAGATCTTATTCCGGGTATGAGGTTTTACTGTATCCCAGTAAGATCTTATTCCGGGTATGAGGTTTTACTGTATCCCAGTAAGATCTTATTGAGTTTTACTGTAGAACAGAGTCTTATTCCGGGTATGAGTTTTTACTGTATCCCAGTAAGATCTTATTCCGGGTATGAGTTTTTACTGTATCCCAGTAAGATCCTATCCCGGGTATGAGTTTTTACTGTAGAACAGCAAGATCTTATTCCGGGTATGAGTTTTTACTGTAGAACAGCAAGATCTTATTCCGGGTATGAGTTTTTACTGTAGAACAGCAAGATCTTATTCCGGGTATGAGTTTTTACTGTATCCCAGTAAGATCTTATTCCGGGTATGAGTTTTTACTGTAGAACAGCAAGATCTTATTCCGGGTATGAGTTTTACTGTATCCCAGTAAGATCTTATTCCGGGTATGAGTTTTACTGTATCCCAGTAAGATCCTATCCCGGGTATGAGTTTTTACTGTAGAACAGCAAGATCTTATTCCGGGTATGAGTTTTTACTGTAGAACAGCAAGATCTTATTCCGGGTATGAGTTTTTACTGTATCCCAGTAAGATCTTATTCCAGGTATGAGGTTTTACTGTATCCCAGTAAGATCCTATCCCGGGTATGAGTTTTACTGTATCCCAGTAAGATCCTATCCCGGGTATGAGTTTTTACTGTATCCCAGTAAGATCTTATTCCGGGTATGAGTTTTTACTGTAGAACAGCAAGATCTTATTCCGGGTATGAGTTTTACTGTAGAACAGCAAGATCTTATTCCGGGTATGAGTTTTACTGTAGAACAGCAAGATCTATTCCGGGTATGAGTTTTACTGTAGAACAGCAAGATCTTATTCCGGGTATGAGTTTTACTGTAGAACAGCAAGATCTTATTCCGGGTATGAGTTTTTACTGTATCCCAGCAAGATCTTATTCCGGGTATGAGTTTTAACTGTATCCCAGTAAGATCCTATCCGGTATGAGTTTTACTGTATCCCAGCAAGATCTTATGATGTGTTTTACTGTATCCCAGTAAGATCTTATCCCGGGTATGAGTTTTTACTGTAGAACAGCAAGATCTTATTCCGGGTATGTGTTTTTACTGTAGAACAGCAAGATCTTATTCCGGGTATGAGTTTTTACTGTAGAACAGCAAGATCTTATTTCGGGTATGAGTTTTTATTGTATCCCAGTAAGATCCTATCCCGGGTATGAGCTTTTACTGTAGAACAGCAAGATCTTATTCCGGGTATGAGTTTTTACTGTATCCCAGTAAGATCAAGATCTATTCCGGGTATGGTTTTTACTGTATGAGTTTTTACTGTTTTACTGAACAGCAAGATCTTATTCCGGGTATGTGTTTTACTGTAGAACAGCAAGATCTTATTCCGGGTATGAGTTTTACTGTAGAACAGCAAGATCTTATTCCGGGGTATGAGTTTTACTGTAGAACAGCAAGATCTTATTCCGGGTATGAGTTTTTACTGTAGAACAGCAAGATCTTATTTCGGGTATGAGTTTTACTGTATCCCAGTAAGATCTTATTCCGGGTATGAGTTTTACTGTATCCCAGTAAGATCTTATTCCGGGTATGAGTTTTACTGTATCCCAGTAAGATCTTATTCCGGGTATGAGTTTTACTGTATCCCAGTATCTTATTCCGGGTATGAGGTTTTACTGTATCCCAGTAAGATCCTATCCCGGGTATGGGTTTTTACTGTATCCCAGTAAGATCTTATTCCGGGTATGAGTTTTTCCTGTATCCCAGTAAGATCTTATTCCGGGTATGAGTTTTTACTGTATCCCAGTAAGATCTTATTCCGGGTATGAGGTTTTACTGTATCCCAGTAAGATCCTATCCCGGGTATGGGTTTTTACTGTATCCCAGTAAGATCTTATTCCGGGTATGAGTTTTTCCTGTATCCCAGTAAGATCTTATTTCGGGTATGAGTTTTTACTGTATCCCAGTAAGATCCTATCCCGGGTGTGAGGTTTTACTGTAGCCCAGTAAGATCTTATTCCGGGTATGAGGTTTTACTGTATCCCAGTAAGATCTTATTCCGGGTATGAGGTTTTACTGTATCCCAGTAAGATCTTATTCCGGGTATGAGGTTTTACTGTATCCCAGTAAGATCCTATCCCGGGTATGAGTTTTTTCTGTAGAACAGCAAGATCTTATTCCGGGTATGAGTTTTTACTGTATCCCAGTAAGATCTTATTCCGGGTATGAGTTTTTACTGTATCCGAGCAAGA